TAATTAGCTTACAAAATAGTGGGTTTTTCATACATCGTTAGTAGTCTATATAATCACATGTCCAGTATGAGTTTGTTTTACCTTCTTTGCCTGGCATAGCTATCATTTTTCATTCTAATCCTTTTAAAAAAAATATTGTATTTATTATTTTTATTTTATGTGTATAAGTGTTATGCCTGCGTATAGGTAAGTATACCTGTGTTGTGCAGTGCCTGCAGAGGACAGAAGAGGCTGTCGGATTCCCTGGAACTGGAGTTACGAACAGTTGTTAGCTGCCATGTGGGTTCTGGGATTTGAACCCGGGTCTTCTGCAAGAACAGTATCGCAGTGTCATCTTGGTTTTGTCTATTCCCAAGAGAGTACCTCTCTTGCCTTCAGTGTGTGTGTGTGTGTGTGTGTGTGTGTGTGTGTGTGTGTGTGTATAATTTTTAAAATTGATTCTTAGGGTACTGGGAATTGAACTCAGGGCCGTGTATATGCTGGGCAAATAGTCTACCAACTGAGATTTGTTCCTAGTCCCCTTTCATTGACTCTTTAACATCTGTTACCATTGAGTCATCTTGACTTCTCTGATCAGTTGTGAACTACTGTATGCCTTTTCTCTGATGTTGGTTGCTTTGAGTAAGGTTTTCATATATTACAATGTCTGAGCTTTACCTGGCTTTTAGTTTCGTTGAAATTTAAATTTGTGCAATTTGGTTGTTGGAGCTTTTGGTTGAATTCCAGTAGAAGGGGAAGTGTTGACTTATATAGGATGTTCATATAAGTCTTATTTTACAATTTACTTAATGATAGGATTCCATAGCCTGTCATTGTAGCCTGTGCCTGTAACAACAACCACTTGGAGAGTGAGGCAGGAACATTGAGAATTTGAGGCCTGCCTGGGTGGCATAGCAAAGTCCAGTCTCAGAAAATAAAAATAGTACCGTACCTCTCTTGTTCTAAAACTCTTACCAAAATTTTTAGATCACTAACAAAGCAATAGAACCTGGTCGGAGGAGTAGAATGGTGTGTAGCAAGTGTTTAATATTTGTCAAACTATAGAATAGGACACTAAAGGTATTTGATGTTAGTTGAATGGTTACCTCAGAGAAATAAGGATACATGAAGTATTGTAATACAGGGATTAGAGCCAAAAGGGCTGAAAAAAGTTGACCAGTTGATTTTGGATGCTAGCTTAGCTGTGCTCTCCATAGCTTACTATCCTCATATAAACCTAAATCTAAGCTTAGTTTTCATTTCTCATTGCTGTTCTTGCCTTTTGAGTGTTTTAGGATATTTTATTAAAAACTAAATCTCCCTTCTCTTCCCCTTTCACTATACCTTGTTGTCTACTTTTAGCTGTCATTTGTTGTTCATCTCTTTTTCTAAGGACCTGAATCTAAAATAGTACTGAAGATATATTGTGAACAAGATTTTTATGCTTATTTTCAAATTTAATTTTATTTATTATTTTTAGTTTATCCGTATGAGTGTTATGCCTGCATGTAAGTGCACCTATGTCATGTAGTGCCCACCGAGGACAGAAGAGGCTGTCGGATGCCCGGGAACTGGAGTTACGGACAGTTGTTAGCTGCCATGTGGGTGCTGGGATTCAACCCCCCCCCCCATCCCGGGTATTCTGTAAGAACAGTCAGTGTTCTTAACCTAAGCTGAGCCATCTCTCCAGCCCCTTTATGCTTATTTTAAAAATCAGGTTCTATCATTTTTTTGTGAAGAAAGAAAATAGAAGAGCAGCAAGTAATTAGTTATTATGTATATCATAATTCATGAGTATTTTAGGGTAACCATTAACTTTTGTAGATAGTAAAATAGACTTTCTGGAGACTATAAACCTGCAACACATTCTACCACAGATTATTCTGTAGGTTTCAGAAAAGAATCCCGTATCATGTATGGTTTGGAATAACGTCTATTAAAATCAGATCTAATGTTTGGAGCATAATGTAACCCTACTCCTGACTAGGGACATGACCCTTCATTAAGGAATTTTATATACTCTAATTTTTTCCAGTTGAGATTTTTCACATAGGAAGACTTTAAATAAGGGGATTGGTTTGTCTATTAAAATTATGCCACTGCTACATACTTAATATGTAAGTTTTGAGTAATTTCCCTCTTGCCCGGCCTTCATTCCCCCACCCATCTTTTTTTTTTTTTTTTTTTTTTTTTTTTTTTAAAAAAAAAATCAGATGTCATGCATCCTAGGCAGGTACTCTACCACTGATGACCTGATTGAATTATTTTCCTCTAGAATTAGTGGCCTTATGCTACACCATGCTTTTCTTCACTTTTCCTTAAAATTAAAAATAGCATTATTTATGTTAGTCTCATAAAATCCCTTAGAAATAGTCTTTGTGTGTGTGAGAGAGAGAGGGAGGGAGGGAGGGAGAGAGAGAGAGAGAGAGTCTCCCTTTAGCCCTAGCTATCCTGGTACTCACTGTGTAGACCAGGCTGGCCTTGAACACACAGAGATCTGCCTGTCTCTGCCTCCTGAGTGCTGGGACTACAGGCATGTGCCACCACACCTAGCTTAGAAATAGTCATAATTTTCCTAATTTTAAGCTCTTAGATGTTATGTGTATCTCGAGAAGAATCTAGATGCATAAATAACAAAGCCTTTTTTATTCCCTTTCTTTTGCGTTGTACCATTTTAACTGTAATTTAAGAATGGAAGACTACAGAGGAGCATCTTATATTAATATATTTGTATATTTACTGTAATTATACAACCAGAACTCCTACATACAAGTTCCTTTATGACACTGTTTTGTGAGTCAGTTTTTGTTTATTTTTTTATGTGTATGAGTATTTTGCCTGCATGTATGTAAGTGCACCTGCGTTATGCAGTGCCCACAGAGGCCAGAACAGGGCATTGAAACCCCTAGAACTGGAGTTAGAAATGATAGTTAGCCACCATATGGGTGCTGGGAACTGAACCTGTGTCTTCTGCAAGAGCAGCCATGCTCTTAACTGCTGAGCCATCTCTCTAGCATACCTTGTGAGTCAGTTTTATTTGGTATTTTTCTCACTTGTTAGATCTATTTTAAATGTTTTTGGTATTTTTCCTTTTGTGGATTTAAAATTTGACAAATGGTTTGGGAAGATATCTCAGGCTATCTTCAGTTTCTTGCAAGTAGGACACAACCTGAGTTCAGTGTCCAGAACCCACATTTTAAAAACTGGGTGATGCTCAGCACTAGGGAGGTGGAGGGAGGAAATCCTTTGGGTTCCCAGGCCAACTGGCCTAGCTTGTTTGGTGAGCTTTAGGTCAATGAGAGACCTGTCTCAACAAGACCAAGTGGTTGATGCCTGAGGAAAGATACCCAAGGCGTCCTCCATACACAGGTACACATACATGTGCACCTGCACTCCTGTCAACATACAGATACTTGCATACTCACAAAGTAAAACATAAAATTTGACAAGTGAAACAAATGAGAATAATGTGACCTGACGAAAAGTATTATAGATCTGTCCTTGATCAAAGGATTCGCTCCCCACATCATATGGAGCATTTCACCAATTATTCTGCATGTGGCAGAAGAAGAAATAGTTGTTATAGAGATGGACTAATTGTCTTAAGATTTTCAGATGCTGATTTAATAAATAGCGCACTTAAAGCATTTAAGTTGTAAAAGGATTACCTGTGTTTGTTCTTAAGAAAAATAAACATAAAAACATTTTGTAGGTTCCATCTCTAGTCATTGGTTTAGGTGATCTGAGGAATTACCCAGGAATTACCATTAAAATGTTTTTTATGTGTATGAGTGTTTTACGTGCACATATGTAAGAACACCACATGCACACAATGCCTTTGTAGGTCAGAAAAGTGTTAGATCCTCTGAAACTGGAGTTAAAGATGTTTGTTAGCCATCATGTGGGTGCTGGGAACTGAAACTGGGTCCTCTGCAAGAGCCGCCCATGCTTTTAACTGCTGGGCCATCTCTCCAGTCCCTGGAAATACCATCTTAATAATTTCTAAGTTTCTGAAGCAAGTTTTCCTAGACTTGTCCTCTAGGAAAACTATGTACAATAAATAAATTAGGTATATCTTCTTTTTTTTTTTTAATTTCTTTGAGACATGGTCTCCCTCTAGCCCCAGCTGACCCAGAAGTCACTGTGTAGACCAGGCTGACCTTGAATTCCTTGAGATCTGCCTGCCTCTGCCTCCTGAGTGCTGGGATTAAAGGTGTGCACCACCAAGCCTAGCAGTTTTTATAAAAGCTCATACATGAGACAGTTTATGAGCTATCTTGAGCTTATTACTGAAAGGTAAACTTTCTTTTCAAAATATTTTAGCACTCTAGATTTAAAGATGGACCTACTAGTGTTTGTTTTTGTGTTGCTTATATTTTCTAGTACATTCAGTGTGGGGAATTGCAGGTTAGCTGTGTGTATTCAAATTTAGTTTCAACCAGGCTTAAGAAGTTTCGATATAGCTTGATACATCAAAGCATATAAATCTCATTTCCTTCTGGTATTGTTGACACAGACCTGAAATGAATGATTTTTGGATAAGAAAAAAAGTTAGTGATAGATATTTATCTGAGCTGGTAAATAACAAAGGAAAAGTTTTTAAATCTATAGCCAAGTCCTGAATCATCTTAAGGTTTTTTTCATCTCTTTAGATTTTGTTGTTGTTGTTATGGACTGGTGAGATAGCTCAGCTTGCTGCCAAGCCTGACTTGAGTTTGATCCCTGGATCCCACACGGTGGAAAAAGAGTACCAACTTCCACAGGTTGTCCTCTGACCTCCACGTGTGAACTGTGGCATGCACATACATACATAAAATAAATAAATAATTGACTTTAAAATAATAATGTTTATTTCTAATTTTTAAAAACTCTGTCACAAACTCTTGCTGTTCTTCCAGATAAGCTGTCAGACAGTTTTACATGGTCTGGCCTTAATTGTAAACATACAATCTTTTTTCTTTTTTTGCTATTTTTTTTTAAATAAATAAATCATCTATTATCTATTTTTTTTTCTCTTCTAGTACTGTTGTCCAGACATGATAAATAACTTTTTGGGACTGACTAAAATGGACATTTCAAATACAGCAAATGAAACTAAGATTCTTGATTCAGAGAAAGGAAAGTTGATCATGTTAGTTAATGACTTTTATTATGGAAAACATGAAGGAGATGTCCAGGAAGGACAGAAGACTCATACAACCTTCAAATGCTTCAGTTGCTTGAAAGTTCTAAAAAATAATATTAGGTATGTGAATACTTTTATTTCTGTTTAAAATTGAAATGCTAGAGATATACCTGTTGTGTCTTATCTTGCACTTTCTTGTGCCAGAAAACAATTTTAATACTTTCTCCTAAGAACAAAAGCAAATTTTCTTTCTGTAGAACTTTGTCCCTTCTTGTATTTTCAGATTCACTTCCTGGATTCATTGGTATGTGTTTTTTTCACATAACTTAAGAGAGGATATAGCTTATTTTAACTTGGAACAAAATGAACTTATTTTATCTTTTGATGATCTAGGAATTTAATTAGGTATCTTTTATTTTCCAGCTGTCTCTGAATCTTAAGCTTTCTTCACAGTACAGGAAGTACTTCAGAAATGTCCAGGTTGACTTCCTTACTAATATTACCTAATGCTCAAATCTTCCTATTCATACTGATAACTTTTAGAGTAGTATCTTACCCAAAAAGTGATCTATTTGGAGACGTGCTAGTTCCAGGAGATGCATCTCCTTTAATTTTAAAACTTAAATAAAAATGGGTTTATATTTCAATGGAATTTTGAAAATTGTATATGCAAATGTTTTAAATTTTAAGAATTTATATTTTGTAATCTCTGAGCTACAGGATGTATTATAAAGATGTAACTAAGAGGAATATCGTGACATACTGAATGATATTTTTCATTTATTATATATCCCCAAATTTATATTTTATTAAGTAGGATTTATTTTTCCTACCATTTCATTGTAAACTCTTCAAATATTTAAAAGTTTTACATTGGACACATGTACATTTGCCACTTTGATTCTGATCTTAATACTTTACTTATTCTGTTATAGTTTTCATTATTATTTCCTTCAAACTCTGATTTTTCAAATTTAATTAAAGCCATTACTAAAACCTGATTTTTTTCTTTTTTAATGTATTTTACAAGTTGTGGATAAGAGTGTACTTTTAGATAAAATGTTGTACACATACAGTTGATTACCTTTAATAAAATAAAAATAAATGTTGTATACATATACACACTTATGCATATCTTTTACACTTACTAGCAGTCATCTGCTATTAGCATTTAGCACCAACAGTTGCCTCTTAGGCTCCAAAATTTATTTTTCTGTATCTTCTTGTATAACATCCTGCTATAATAATGATTACTGGTTTATTATAATAATGTTTTATATTTTCAAAGCTCTTTCACACATCTTATATCATAGGATTTTTATACTGCTTCCCCTTCTGTATCATACTTCAATACCTGGCAAGAGCTAATGATTCCAATAGTTTAATAGAAGGGAAATTCTGCTTTAAAGGTAATACTGAAACTGTTAAAATACAGCTCTACTACCTATATCCATATTCGTACCATTTTAATAATAAAATATATGGGGGCCAAAGAGATGGCTCAGCAGTTAAGAGGACTGACTGCTCTTTCAGAGAACCCGGATTCAATTCCCAGCACCCACATGGTGGCTATCAACCATCTGTGACTCCAGTTCCAGGGGAATCTGACAACTTCTGACCTCCACTAGCATTGCACAACATGGCTGAGCTTACACCCATGTGGGCAATACACTCACACACATAAAATAAAAATAATATTTAAAAATAATAATAAAATATATTAGAGGATCTAGTTAGTAGATACGGCAAAATGTTCACTGAGTTAATTCCTTGTTAAATATGATGCATATCACAAGTTATTTTAACAAAAGTTTTTGAGCTCCAGATTGGTCTTTTGTAAACATTGGGAGAATTTATCCAAGCTAGTTAAGGGATTATTCTATATAAATACATTTTTGTACTTTAAGTTGTAAGCTGAAAATTTACTGAATCATTGTATTTTTGCCTTTGTGTGAAGCTTTAACCCAAACTAGGATTTTCTATAGGTGTTTGTAGAGCTAGTGTTAAAACCAATGGAAGAAAAGACATTTCAAGGCATATTACAACCTGCTTTAAAGAAATACTGTTCTTTATAGATCTGAAAAAAGAGATAGCTGTCATAGGCTTCATGCCAGCTCTTATCTGGATTGATGACATTATCATGTAGTTTTAGGATTATTTCCTTTGGAGCTCCCAATTGAATAATTTTGTTAATAGTTGACCCAGTCCAAAAATTATTTTGATTGAGTAACTTTTCTTTCAAATACACCAGAAAGCTTCAGTAAGCTCTCTTAAGTAGATATTCCCATTTATATTGCACTTTCTGCACTGAGGGTCGTAGTTGTGCTCCTAAGAAGCCTTTTAGGGAAGCTGAAATAGCAAAGTGTAAAACTGAAAAATGGACATTGCCTGCAAAGGGCACAGTATGCAAGTTAAAATGAACAGTTTATACTAATGGTAAACAGTATCATTAAATAAAACAAAAAGTTCTTATAATTGTAGGCATTAAAATTGCTATTACGTGCATTTAGAAACAAAGGTGTGAATAAAAACATCAATAATTTGTCTTTCAAAGCAGCTGGAATTTATTGTATATCTTCAAGGGCTTGAAAGATTTCTCCCATGACTCTAGCTGCTTTTGTCTATAGAATTCCTTTCCAGTATTTAATTTTAAAGTCTAAATAGCACTTCATATATAGAAAAGAAGACTGCTGTTTTATCTAAAAGCATGGTAATTTGAAATTAGTGATATTTCAGATTAGTTACATTAATGAACTATTTTAAAACAAAGATGGAAAAGATGTTTACTTAGCCAGTTAGAGAAAGTGATTATTTGAAACACACATTTTTCTAAGGACTTAGAGACATTATGGATTTTGAGCATAATGTTTGCTATTTTTGTGGTTCGGGTTCAGATACTATTGTTGAGATTTTCCTGTGCTTTAAAATCTGCATTTTTGCACCTGTTGACCATCTTTCCTAGGTTCATGAACCACATGAAACATCATTTGGAACTTGAGAAACAAAGCAGTGAGAGCTGGGAAAGCCACACCACCTGCCAGCACTGCTACCGCCAGTTTCCCACTCCCTTTCAGCTGCAGTGCCACATCGAGAGCACACACACACCTCATGAATTTTCCAGTGAGTTACAGTTGTGCTGGTGTTGACATTACTGATTCTGACTATAGAAACTGAGCTAATCCGAAGAAGCCTGTTAGAAAAACAAGAATGAGAGATAGATTTTAGGGCTGGAGAGATGACTCAGCAGTTAAGAGCACTTGTTGCTCTCAGCAGACCTGTGTTCGGTTCTCAAAACTCACATGGCAGCTCACAACTGTCTGTAACTCTGGCTGTAGGGGTGGGTTCCAACACCCTCTTCTAACCTCCATGGGCACTATATGCACATGGTGCACATATATTCATGCAGGCAAACATGCATATATGTGGAATTTAAAAAATAAATCTTTAGGGACTGGAGAGATGGTTCAGCAGTTAAGAACACTGGTTGTTCTTGCAGAAGACCCAGGTTCAAATCCCAGCACCCAGATGGCAGCTAACAACTCTCTGTAACTCCAGTTCTAGGGGATCTGACATCCTCTTCTGTCCTCCATGGGCATTGCACAACACAGGTGCACTTACCTACATGCAGGCAATACACACATACACATAAAAATTAATAAAATATTTTAAAAAAATAAATCTTTAAAAAAATGAACCAGATTTTGAAAATTGAGGGTAAATTGAGAAAGTTAACCTACTCCAAGAAGATCTGTATCTTGGCATAGCTGCATGAGTTAAGGCAAGTTACTTGCTACTTAAGTAATAGAATGGATGATAGAAATGCTTTCCGTGCAGTACTGTAATAGAAATCATGAGTTATTGTATGTGTAATGTTTAAACTGGTTGGCACACCCAGGAAACGTACTTGTTACCACCTCTAACACTGCTGCTATTCTTTTGTTGATATTGTTTTCCAAGGTGAAATTTTGTATTTATATATTAAAATGTTGTCTTATCTTTCTCCCTCCCATTTTTAGCCATTTGTAAAATCTGTGAGTTATCATTTGAAACAGAACAGATTCTCTTACAACATATGAAAGATAATCATAAACCCGGTGAAATGCCATATATCTGCCAGGTACATACATGTTTTCATAGTGTTCTTAACTGGTTTGTTTTTTGTTGTTTTGGTTCCAAGGTTTGTATGTGTTAGATCAGCTGCTAGCATTTTGGTTTTTTTTTAGTTTTTTTGCTCAAGGGACAAATGGTAATTGTTGTAGTTTTAGAGGGCTTACAATCTTTTGTAGCCAGTTAGGTCTGCCATTGTAACAAGTGTCATTGACAGTAAGAGAATAATTGGATGTGTCTGTGTTCTGATAAAACATGGACACTGAATTTTGAATTTCATATCATTTTTATGTCATGAAATTACCTTTTTTCATCATTTAGATAAAAATAGTTAACTAAAATTAAAGTCATGAAATATAATACCTTTTTATATGTCATGAAATATAATACCTTTTTTCATCATTTAGATAAAAATAATTAACTAAAATTAAAGTCCCTCATAAGTACTTTATTAGTGTAAGTTATGAGGGGAAGGCAGAGAGAACTGGATTTGGCCCAGAGGCTGTTTGCTTACCACTACTAGTCAGAGAAGAGCTCTGTTAGAAACATAGACTTGACTTACCCTAGAAGAGAATACTGCCATGTGAGCAATGTACAAATTCTGTTACGTACACAGACTTCTTTTAAGTGCTTTGGAGACTAGTATTTCATCAGAATTTGAAGGAACAGGAAAACAAAAGAAAGATAAATCACCACTGTCATAACTTAGAGGCTATATTTAGAATCCAAAGGAAAGTATTGTTTTATGTAGTAGAAGAAAGCATTCTTTAGGATGGGAGGTTCCAAAGCTTGAAAATTAAGACAAGCTGGGTTGATAGATAAGTGATAATAAAGAAAGCACCTATTATGTTTTGGGAAACATTCTTTCACTCCGAAGGCTAAGTAGATTCTTGCTTGTATGGGTATCAGAGCTGCATGGGCAGTATATAAAGTTCTAAACAAATGATCCTTCTAGTTTCAAGTCAAGTTAAACATGACCTTTCTATTTCTAGGTTTGCAATTACAGGTCATCTTCATTTTCTGATGTAGAAAATCATTTTAGAACTTCCCATGAAAACACGAAGAATTTGTTATGTCCATTTTGCCTCAAAGTTATTAAAATTGCCACACCCTATATGCATCACTATATGAAGCATCAGGTAAGATTTGCTTAGTCTTTTTTTAAAAATCTTAATGAAAAGACTGATTATCACTCAGATTATTGATTAAATTTTTTTTTCAAGGGAAGCAAAGTTTGAAATATGTTTAGCTTAAAATTTATATTGAATCACTTGTAAAACTTCCACATTCTTTTCCACTTCCTTTCTAATTATGTTTGGCCTATAAGTAATTGTTAATAGTGATTTCCCTCAGATTGCCCCAGTAAATAAATTTTATAAATGCCTGAGTTTACAAAATTAAAGTTTTTTGCTTTAAAATAGGATTTTTCAGAACTTTTAATATACTAATGAACATTGTAAATCTCCAACCACAAATATAGTATTCTTTTATCCTCAAATTTACTTGACTACAGACCCTTTATTTGAACAGTAACATGTATTGTTAAACAGTTTAGGCAACACTATTTTTGATCTTTGAGTTTGAATTTTGAAAAAGAGGTTAAGGTATAAGGCAATGTCTGTTATTTCATTATGAGGTAACTTATTTGTCTCAGATATTTTACTAAGACTTAGAGATGCAGGAATGAATGATAATGGTGATCAAGGTATATCAATCCAGTCTCTGGGCTGTGTAACTTCTCAGATCTTCATATCCAGAGTTGTCTTAACTTGCCACAGGTGATGTTTTTCTTTTGTTTGGAGTACCTGCAAAATTGAGGGTAAATAGGGGACCATCTCTTAATAACAAGGAACATCGGGAATCCTTCATTGCATTTACAATTTGTGTATTTAAGAAAGACTGGCAAACCATAGCTGGGGGAGAATATAAACTTGAAATTGAGGTGACATTGTTACTGCAATAATAAATACTAAGAATGGTTGGTTCTGTGCCTTATTTTAGTGTCTTTGAGGACCATAGATGTAATTTTTTTCTTGAGGATTACATTATGTCAGGTAATTTGTGTTCTCTGTGTGTGAGCACTTGTACACCTGTGGTGGGGAGTGCTCCCTTAGAGGCCAAAAGAGGGCATTGTTTGTTCTCTTATCACTGTCCTCCTATTCCTTTGAGATAGGGTCTCTCCCTGAACCTGGGGCTTCCTGGGCTAGGCTGGAATCCAGCAAACCTCATAGATTCTGCTGTCTCTACCTCCTTCAGAACTGGGGCTATAGGCATGTGTGGGATGGCTGACTTTTTAACATGGATGCTATTCCTCATGATTATGCAGCAAGCATTCAACTACTAAGCCAGCTCTCTAGTCACGATTTCAGGTAATTTCAAGCTAACAACCCAGTTTATATTACTGTTGTTTCTTGTTTTGGGGGGTTTGAGAGTCTCATATAGCCCAGGTTGGCCTTAAACTTACAATGTAGCCAAGGATGGCCTTGAACTTTTAATCCTCCTTCTTTTGGCTTCCAGGTGCTGGGATTACAGGCATGTGCCACCATGCCTAAAGGTTTATATGATTTTATTGAAATAAATAATTTCAAATATATTGACTAAGCTTATTTCTTTGATAAAATAGTAAGTAATTTACATACGTTATTTGCTTCGTTTATGGCAGGAATATGTTTAATTTCTGTATTTATCTTTTTAAAAAAATTTTTTTCAATAACCACATACTTAGAAGAAGCATTTCACTACATCAGCATTGACATATTCAATAAAATTTTCTGAGCTAGGATGCATCTCTTACAAAATTGGCTGTACATTTTCAGGTTTACAGTTGAATTATTAGTTACACAATATTGTACTCAGTATAAACCCTATAAGACATAAAATTGAGGTTTTAACCTTTAAAAAAGATCTCTGTATGAAACTCTATTTTAATAATGAAATGGAGATCTTTTTTAAAGGTTAAAAACCTCATTTAATTTTATGTATTTATCTTTTTTTATTCCTCACAACCACCATATTTATATTATTTCTATGTTATAAACGAGAGCCTTAGAGTAAGTAACTTGCCTTATGTTACATGGTGTAAAAAAAAGGCTGATACATACTGACTTTAGATCCCAAGTCTGCTTCTGTGTCATATTAGCATTAGCTCTAAAGGTAGAAATTACCTATAGAAAGAATTACTCTTAAACTCTTCAAGCCTGCCAAAAAATGCAATATACTTGTCAAAAAATTTAGTACAAACTGTTATTTCTCTGTGCTAGGAGTAGATCAGTGATTTCTTTGGTTAAGCATAATGTTACCAACAAGCTCTTATGCTGTATCTTCATCACTTTAGCACATAAATACCTGAGAGAGCTGTGTAAGACTTGAGCCCAACTGAAGAAATACATTAGATTGATTAGACTCTATCTCAGGACTGTGCACAGATGTTCATGAGCTGAGATGGGCATTTTGAACTACTTAAAACTGTATCTGCTACTCAAAAGTATTTTTCTCAGTCTTTTACTTTCTGCCTTACTATCCGCTTACTTAACAGTTGTTTAGAATTCTTGACTACATTCCAGAAGCCCCAATATAGCAATGAGTCAAATAAATCCTCTATCTTTTAGAATTTATAATGAGAAATATAAAGATTAATTTTTATTTATATATATTTGAATGCATATGTTTTTAATTATTTATTTTTATTTAATGTATATCTGTTTGCCTGAACATATGTATATGCACACAGGTGTGTGTGTGTGTGTGTGAGTGTGTGTGTGTGTGTGTGTGTGTGGAGAGAGAGAGAGAGAGAGAGAGAGGGGTGCATGGTGCCTACAGAGACCAGAAGAGAGCATCTGATATCCTGGAACTGGAGTTACAGACAGTTCTGAGCCACTCTGTGGGTGCTAGAAACTGAACTCTGCAAGAGTAGCAGGTGCTCTTAACTGCTGACCTATCTCTACAGTCCCTGAATGTATATATTGATAACTATTAGTGGAAATTATAGAGGCCAAGGAGTACCAAGGATTCAGGAAGTGTTAGTTGAGGAGAGATTGCTCTTTTGTATATACAGTGGTCACAGTAGGAGCTTTTTAATGGAAATTAAGGAAGATGCCTTGTGGATATCTGAGGTAGCATTTAGACAATAAAGTAAATATATACCTGTACTCCTTGAAATCAACACAGAGGCCAGTGAGGCTTTGAGAAAATAAACTAATAGGGAAGAAGAGCAGGAGATGAGATAGTAGTAGTTGAATACAGGCTAATTCATATGAATCCTTCTAGGCCAGAGTCAAGACTTTGGAAGATCACTGGGAGGTTTTAAGTGAAAGATCTAGAATTCTTCACAAACCACTGGTAACTATGGGAAGAATAGATTATAGGGAAGTAAGGTAGTCATGGTTGGAATTAATAAGACGAGGAAAATGTAGTTTTCATAGGTTTAATGTGGTATATTAATGTGGGATGTGAGGGAAAGTGACTTTTTTGTCCTAAGCTGTTGCAAGAATGAAGTTTTCATATTCTAAACTATGGAAAAGACTGAAGAAAGAACAAAATTGAGAGAGCTGGGCAGAGAGATACACAGGAAATCTGTAGTTCATTTTGCCTGTGTTGATTTGTAAGGACCAATATCAAGTAGGCAGTCTGGTATATGATATTTCAAATCATGGAGCTAGATGTGAGTGATGATAGAGAAAATTTTTCTGGTAAATGAAATCATGTAAACTTTTTTTTCAGCCTGTTTAGTTTCTGATTCTTGTCTGCATTTGCTTTTTCCTCCTCTTTGAGCATGTATAAGTGAATTTGTGTTGCCTTGCCTCTGAAAAAATTCAACGTACCATGTTTCTAAAGGAATCTTAAGATGAAGCTAGAATATGACATTATTTTTACACATTGCTTTGAACATTGTAATAAAAATTTGTCTTTTCTTTTAAAATAGTTTAGTTGACATGTAACAATTAAAGTAATTAGCACTTTTCTATCTCCTTTATTATCCTTATTTCTTTGTACTTAGTGATTATGTGTGGCTAATGGCTGCCATGTTGGACAGCAGCTGCAGAATATTTTCTCATTGTAGGAAGTGTTATTGGATAATACTACTTTATATTTCTATAACCTAATCTTGGAAATGTCCAGTTAGATTTACTTAGCTTTGGACAGTTTATTTTTTCTACTTGTCAATCAATTGAAAATAGCAAAATTTTTTAAATAACTTTTTTTCTAGATAAAAACACAGTCAAGATAATTTTCACAGTATCAAGTCTTCAAATACTCATTTTTTATAATTAAAAAGCCATTCACATCACAATTATTAGTATTCACATTAGAATCTGTTAATAGAACTTTCATGTTTAATTACCATATAATAGATTCTTCTGAAACCCAAATACTCATAGTTTTAAAAAACTGAAATGATTTTTGATGTTATTTATGGTAGTAAAGTATCATTAAAATTAGAGTAGTTTAGAACATAAAAATTAAGTTAGAGTAGTTTAGAACATAAGAGCTATGGTTATATAAATTATTTTTCTTTTTTCTGTTTTGAAACAGAAAAAAGGAATACATCGTTGTACAAAATGCAGACTGCAATTTTTGACATGCAAGGAGAAAATGGACCACAAGACTCAGCATCATCGAACATTTATAAAACCTAAGCAGCTAGAAGGACTGCCCCCTGGAACAAAAGTGAGTTCAAATGCATATATGACCTTTATAGAATAAAAATTAACTCCTGCCTAGTTCTATTGAATGCAATGTTTTAGAAAATGACTTCTGGTTTTTATTAAGATTAATCTACAGTTTATTGTTCTGCTTAGAAAGAAAAACATCTAACCATTGTTTTGAGCTCAGTGATGGGTGCTAAGTTGAAGTGGTATTCCTTCCTAAAACGTATGACTAGATTGACTACTCCCTGGGTCACTGGTTTGGTTCAGTATTATATAGGCTCTTTTTTAGCTGTTCTTGTTGGTAATGTGTATATTGGTTTCAATAGCTGTACTGTAAGATACTTGATATCAGGAATCATATTATTTTATTTATCTTTGTGTCTCCAGCATCTTTTAGAGTGCCTTGAATACTACAGGTTCTCAGATGTTTGTTGAAGTTGTTATTACTGAGTCTACTCTCAAAGAAGCAAATTCTGCTGTTGGACAGCATTGTATTTTAAGTGAGCAAACACTTGTCTGACTGTAAACTGATGATTGTAATTTACTGTTCCCCTTTTGCCTTATATACATCTGTTTTCTCTGACTTTATATACAGTCAGCTTTTGAATATTTGCTCCAGTGGAGGGAAACAGGAATGGATAATTCAAAGGGAAACAATCCCAAAAACCTTTATATTTGCCTTTGTGTACTTACCTTTGAATGTGGGTATGTCTGTTATTTGAATTGACTAAGTAATACAAAGCCATGCTCTGAAGATCTAGAGCAAGAGAAGCTATCGAGCATCCTCCCTGCAGTCCATTCATTTCCTGCTGGGACTACACATGCAGAATACTAATGTAAGCAGGGACGTCCTCTCTCATTTCTTCCCTATTAATAGCAACAATATTAATGATACTAAATGTTTTTATAGAACCTTAGATTTGCCTAATTCTAAGTGTACTTTTTCAGATATTTATTATTTAATCCAAACAGTCAAATGATGTAGATAAGGCAACTATTACCCTCTATGACTGATATGGAGAGGCTTAAAGAAGATGCTACTTATGTGAGGTCATGTAGCTAGGAAGACAGATTCAACGTAAGGCCTTTTGATTACTGGTCCAGGTGCTTTTGCACAATAACCAAGCACATGTGTTCACAGGACTTCATCATGGGCTGTTTCTGAAAAAGCAGGAGAGTGTAATCAAATAATTAATAAAAATATTGGTAGATAATTGTGTTTTCCATTGTCAGTCAACAGGTATAATTGAGTATTTTATCTTTCTGAAGAGTAAATAATGAAACTTATTAGTTCCTTAAGAAAATTTTAAATGTTCAACTCTCCACCCAGTATAATGAATTGATAGAACCAGCTGCTTAAATGCCAGGCAGTGTGTTCCAGAAAGCAGGTCACGCTTGCTGTAGATATGCTTTTTTATATTAATAATTTCAAGGGGTATTGCAGGCCTTTCTAATTTTTTCAGTCTTCATTATTTAAGTTTTGGGCTCTTGTGCTTATGAACTTTTTTTAGTTATATCAGCATAAAATAGTTATGAAATACAGTCTTCTTAGATTCATATACTTTGTATTAACTCTTATTCACTAATAACAATGTTAACATATAACTGCACTATGAACTATATGTGAATAAGTATTTTAAGTGAATAAATTTCTTTTAATTGATTTGAATATTTAGAGTAAATAGACTAAACCCAATTAGTTTGTCTGTGCTTTTTTCAAAATATTTGACATTTAACTATTTTGTTTAGTGAATAATTTGTTAAAGTAAATATTTCTTTTTTGTAGGTTACTATTCGAGCCTCAGTTGGACCTCTTTCCTCAGGATCTTCAGCTACACCTTCTGTTAGTGCAAGTACTTCTGTCCTTCAGCTCTCTCCCCCAAGGACTGAAAATACGCCTGCTAAAAATCCCACAAAACTGAATATAAGTAAACCTAATACAATCAAATTGGATGACAGTAAACCTAATGAAAACAAGTCTAGTGGAAGTAAATCTAAGTGCAAGTCAAAAATCTCTAACATGCAAAAGAAGCAAAGCACAGTGGCTACTAATAATAAAAAAAGTAAAGTGAATACAGCATTAAGGAATTTAAGGTACTGTTTTATTCTTGATGTACGATACCAATTCATTCATACTCAAGTATAAAACATTATACTTTAGTTAATAGAATAGTAATATAGCTCTTCCTTATTTGTTTTAAAATACATCTTTTTTTTATGTCTCCATAAGGTTACGTCGAGGTGTTCATGAATGCATTGAGTGTTGTTCTGAAGTAAAAGATTTTGCAATCCATTTTCCTACATATGTCCACTGTAGTTTTTGCAGATACAACACTAGCTGTAGCAAAGCCTATGTAAATCATATGATGAGGTAAGATGAGTTCAATCTGTGTATTGCCTATTACCATTACAGTTGAAGAAGATTTTGTTTTGAAAACAAAGTAATATGTAGTAGAAGCCTGGTAGTGTTTTCTAGTATAACAAAGCAAATCAAGAAATACTATATGAAATGGTTACTTAAGAAATAAAATTAAGGTTGGCTGTTAGGGAGATAATTATTCTGTGGGTTTTTTTGTGTTTGTTTGTTTGTTTTTTCCCTAAAGATATTTAAAAATGGCTATTGCCAAACAAAAATTTAAATGTTTTAAATATATTTAACTGACAAATCCATGTACTTTTATGACTGTCATTCTCTTCAAAGCAGAGACTTGAGGATTTTCAGTGATATTAGGAACTTTGATGGGTTTGTTTCTTTTGCTTTCTGCCTTTCTTTGCAATCCATCTCTTTGCCCATCAGTCCAGCCATCTATTTATGAAGCTGTCTGTACTTATGTTTATTAAGTCCATCATATATTTTAGATTGAATTCTTTTTCAGTAATTCATTCAAAGATATTTGATCACCTGTCATTTACTCTGTACTGGAAAAATTCTCCTGAGTATCGCCTGGACCTTATTAAGAGAACACTTCATTCTTTCAGCATGAGTTTTAGTTTTAAAGAATAGTCCAAAGTTGTTCACATATAAACCTGATATGTTGCTTATTCAGACTGGTGCTGGTCTGAGATTTTTTGTTGTTGTTGTTTTAAAATAGAATTCATGTGTAATCAAGTTTCTTGCAGATCATAACATGATTTCCATGTTGCTTTCTGATCATTTCCAGATACTGTTTTCAAGGATCACTCACCTTTCTTGGTGATTCCAGTACTTCTCCCAGTTTTCTCTCCTTAGTGATCAGCCTGACTTTCTGGTACCTTGTCATCACTAGTCCAAGAGCTTCACATCCTTGTCTAAGTCCTCTTTCATACCTAGTACCATTTTAATATCTGCCTGTATGCTCCATTCCTTTGAATTTATGTTATTCCATCATGTTCAACAGTGTTTGACTCTAGCAGCATCTGTTTACCTTAATTGTCACCTTACCATCAGGGTCCTTATTTTAAATCCTGCCTTGTTTTTTCTTACTCTTTAGTCATGCTTACCTTGTATAAAGGCCAACATAAAGTTTGACCCTTTTTTTCCTTTTCAGCTCTCTTTATATTCCATTCTACACTATAAACAATGTTTGTAGGACTCATTCAAGTCTCACTTCATAATATATATTTAAATATTGTGTGTGTGTATGTGTGTGTCTGCACATACATACACATACACACACACACACACACACACACACACACACAAAATGGTACACATGAGGCAATCAGAGGACACCTTGTGGGAGTAGGTTCTTTTCTTCCAGTATGTGGGTCCTGGGAATCGAACTCAGGCCCTCAGCGTGGTGACAAGTAGTTTTACTCACTGAGCCATCTCACTGCCCATACTTTATAACCTTTTTTTATCAAACCCTTAGAGCTCTTCAGCCCCTACTGGTCTGAAGCTCACAATGTAGCTCAGGCTTCCTTTTCCTTTTAAAAACATCTTTATGTTTACTAATATTTAATTCGTTTTCAGTATACTGGAAATTTTATTTTAGTCCCTCAGTTGTTTACCTACATTACTAGTTGCTGAAGTGAAGTCATCCTTTTGTCTTCACTCAGATATTCGTCTCTGAAACCACGCATTTTCTCTTCCAACTCATCATGATCTTATTTGGTCAACTTGTACCATCCATCATCTCTTTCTTTCTGTTGGATTTCTTCTACATGGATATGTTTTCAGTGTTTTGTTTTTAGGATGAGGGAAATTTATTGCTACTGCATGTTTATTTCTTCTCTGCCTTTTACCATCAGTATTTATAAAAACGGGTTTAATACTAGCTTACTCCTATCTGTGATTCATTTCCTGAAACTCTTATCTCCCACCACCTTGGTGTCCTATGCTCATTTCCTGTTTGCTCTCAACCAGACTCCAGACATTTCCCCTAGCATATAGCTAGGTGGTATGCTTGTCCCTTACTCTGTACCAAACTTGGAGCTACCCAAATGGATCTCTAATTCTGCCGTTAATTATAGTAGATCACACTGGAAAATCCTTATGATACAGGGGAGAACAGGGTCTCCTTGCCAAGGTTTTTAGTCTCATTCATAAAAGAATTTAAGAATGAACTCAATCGGAAGATTTAGGATAATTTTATTAGAGAAAAATCCTCAGGTCAGGCAAACTAAAAATCTTGCCAGTTGCCTTGAGTTGTAGAATAGAGAGGAGAAAGAAAAATCATGAAGCTGGGACTGGAGAGATGGCTCAGTGGTTAAGAGCACTGGCTACTCTTTCAGAGGGCCCAGGTTCGATTCCCAACACCCACAGGGCAACTGACAACCATCTGTAATTCCAATTTCAGTGGAATTGGACACTCTCTTCTGATCTCTGCGGGTTTTGATGATGCAGGTGCCCTTATATACACACAGGCAATACATAAAAATAATAAATAAATTTTTTTTGAAAAAGAAAAACCGTGAAGCCATGTCCATTTAGATACATCACGGAGGTCAGTCAGACATGTGGTAGACTAGCAGCCACATGATGGAGAGAAGGAAGCTTTAGAGAAAAAGAAATATTAAGATGTTGAGGCAGCCCAACGCATTAGGGAAAAGCATGGTTAGAGAAGAGATAAAAAGAAGAAAAGGAGAGATCACACTTTTAGGAGAGACTTAGGGAGAGTCACATGTCTATGTCCCCCAGCCCCCCAGTCCACATGAACAGCACTAAGAGATGGGGATTCCTGGCAGGAAACGTTCACCATCTCATTAATGCATTAGGTATTCTGCCCATCTCTTTAGCAAATTAAAGTGAATCTGCTTTCCTGGGGGTGGTCCTGGACAATACTGGAAAGTTGGGTTCTTATCCAGGCCACAGGTTTTATTTTTTTGACAAGTTAATCTTATGGGGCTTTTGATACTTCAACACTTAGTTTTTTAAACCAAGTGTCATTGTACCCATCCCTTTCTCATTTGTCCTAGGTTGTCCTGGGTAGAATCCCTCCTATCTCCAAATTCCTAGTGAATTCCAACCTGCACTTCATACTCTTACTCATTCATAGCCTCATATGGAGCTGACAGCTTCCATCCCACTGGCATGCTTACAGATAGGCACTTTGCCTTTTTCTTTCTTTTTTTTTTTTTCCTAAGTCCCTCTGTTTTCCTCACTGCTGCTGCTTAGATACCTCCTACTGAGTAGTGTCCCCTATTGTTTAGTATGGATGACTGTTCTAGGCTTGAGATGTGTAAGAAGAGAATCTATATTTTTTTCCCCCAAAGGATGAGTACTTTTCATTCCTACCCATACCAACTATAACATTCCAACTCTGTAGCATCTCAGTTCAACTTACTCTCTTTGACCTCTTACCTGCCCCAGTCCATTCTATGAAGACTCCTATCCCAATAAATTGGGAAGTGTTGCCATAACTCCCCTCATGCTCATTGTGTAAGTAAGTGGCTTTCCTTAATTTTTAAACCTTCCCTGTCAAGGTGGCCTTCTCTGCAGGGTCTGATTACCACGACCACTCTTTTTGAGTGGTGTACTATTCTTCTATTCTTCTTTCTATTATATTAATTGACATGTCTATTGTGTTCTTGAGGAAAGGGTCTTTGTACTTACCATATAACCTAGCACAGTGGATACAAATGGTCATCACTAAATTTAAGAGCCCTTAAGTATAATTTCAAGAGAAGATTTAAAAATCTTAAAGCAGTTTGAACTATGTTGAAGTAAAGATTTGTTTTTTTAAAGAAAAGCATTAAATTTGTAACTTTCAGTGATTTTTTTTTTTTTCTGTCTTTAAAGTGTAATGGATGGGGGGCTAGAGAGATGGCTCAGCAGTTAAGAGCACTGACTGTTCTTACAGAGGACCCAGGTTCAATTCCCAGCACCTACATGGCAGCTAATAACCCTCTTTTAACTCCAGTTCCAGGGGATCTGATGCCCTCTTCTGACCTCTGCAGGCATTGCACAATACAGGTGCACTTACATGCAGGTGATACACTCATACACAGAAAATAGAATCAATAAATAAAATATTTTTTAAAACCATAGTTTGGGGGTCAGTAATTTAAACTATTACACTTAATAGCTCTTAAGTAATAACAGAAATTATCTGAAAAAAATGCAAGTGAACTAGTATATATTGCTGTTATTTCTCCAAAAGGATTAAGTAGGTCCTCTACCCAGTTAAAGTTAATGGCCATTATTAATATTTCTTTTCCTAGCAAAGTTTGAGCTAAGAAAATTGTTCCTTGTCTTTTTCTTAGGAAGTGAATTTGTTATATATGTGGAATCAAGATTATTAAGAAAATATGGTTAAAAAAACATTTTGTTGCTGGGCATAGTGGCACATGCCTTTAAATCCCAGTACTTGGGAGGCAGATCTCTGTGAGTTCGAGGCCAGCCTAGTCTCCATAGTGAATCCAGGCCAGCTATGGCTACAGGGAGACCCTCTCTCAAAAAAAGGCATTTTTGTTCCAGGGGTTTTTTTTGGTTTTTTTTTTTTTTTTTTTTTTTAGGTATAATTCAAACAACAAAATTCATCTTTGTAGAATAGTTTAATGAGTTTTGATAATTACATTGAGTTATGTAACCAAGTAGCAAGATCCTTTTGTTTTGTTTTTAGAGGATGGATCACTCATTATGAAATCTGGGCTGACCTTGAACTTCAGAGTGCTAGTGTTACAAGTATGCACTATCATACCAATCCTGCCAAATTTTTAAAATCTAAATGTTAACTTTATTTTCTTTAAATATTGTATACTTTATGAAGATCTAATAAAAAAAGAAAGGTACCCTTTTCCCTTTTTACAATTTATTTTAAAGTTTCTTAGCCTATATTAATTATACACAATGAATTTCATTATGACCTTTTCATACATGTATATAATACATTTGATCATATTCGCCCCTCATCACCTCTTCTGTCTTCTAACTCACACCATCCCCTTCCTCTTCCCAGCTAATCCCTCTTTTCCCCACCCTCTCTGTGAACCAGTGAGTTTAATTGGTGTTACTTACGGGCACTTTGGTGAGAACATAGTAATGCCATCCGTCTTCTAATTTTTGCTCAGGATTGTTTGGCTGTCTGATGTCTTTTGTGCTTCCAAATCAACTTCACAATTGTTTATTATCTTTCTATGAAAAAATGGCATTGGAATTTTTAGTAGGATTACATTAAATCTGTGTCTTCCTCCTGTTCCTCGGTGTCTGAAAGATTTCATTGTAGAAGTCTTTCAGTTCCTTAGTTATGTTTACTCCCAGTTGGTTTTTTTGTTTGAGGCTATTATGAAGAGGATTATTTCTTGTGATTTCTTTCTCAGCATTTACTCATTTATTTATTTAAGATAGTGTCTTGATACGTAGCCCTGATTGGCCTTGAATTTATAATCTTCCTCTCAAAGCCTCCCAAGTATTGGGATTACAGATGTGAATCACTACATCTGACTTTTTCCCCTTTTGGTTAAGATATAAATCTCTAAGTGCAGAATTTGTGTATTAAATCTAGATAAGTGAAAAGAGGCAATATAAATTCTTTTTTTAGATTACCAAAAATTTAAAGTTAATATTTTAATATGATGCAAGTTGTAGACCTCTGTGGAAGCCATTAAAAAGACCCTAAAATGTAATTTCAGAAATCTCTCTTTCCTCCTAAATAAGTAAAATATAAACGGTTTGTTATCTAAAGAAAAAGAACTTGTAACTCTCAAAGTATTTTATGTGTATGAGTGTATTGCCTGCCTGTGTATAAGTGCACCTGTGCTGTGCAATGTCCACAGAGGACAGAAGAGGGCATTGAATTCCCCTGAAACTGGAGTTAAGGAGAGTTGTTAGCTGCCATGAGGGCTCTGGGAATTGAACCTGGGTCCTCTGCAAGAGCAGCCAATGTTTCAGTACATGGCAGCTATGAACGTTCCAGGGGAATTTGAAGCCCTCTTCTGACCTCCGCGGCATTGCACGACACAGGTGCACTCACATACATGCAGGCAATACACTCATACACATAAAATAAATGTAATAAGTAAAATATTTTTTTAAAATGCTTTTGGGGGGGCTGGACGTGGTGGTGCACATTTAATCCAGCATTGCGGAGGCAGAAGCAGGTGGATGTTTGTGAGTTCCAGGCCAGCCTGATCTACATAGGGAGTTTGAGGCCAGCCAGGGCTGCATAGTGAGTCTTTGTCTCAAAAAACAAGAAAACTTTGTTTTTGTGATACTGTCATAGGATATATGTGAACTTTTTAATAATAATTCCACGCAGGTTGAAGAAATAATTATCTGAAATCTTTTGAGATATTTTCTAAAGGTTGCAACTAGCTAGAGTATTTCTTTTCCTGTGTATATAACTTGCATTGTTATATGCAACTCTTTACCTGGTGTGCTGCCGTTGCTTCTCAAACTTAGATTGGAATCACTGACAAACACATTTAAAACAGTCCTGGCCCTACTGCCAGAGATTAACTCAGTAGTTTGTGGGAGCCTGAGACTTTGTATTTCTAAATAAATTCTCACGTGATGCTGGTGCTGTTGTTTTTGTTTTCACTTTCTGAAATAACTGTGCTAAACTCATCCTGACTGTCTAGTATAGTGTAGAGTTAAAAGGGCACATACGAGCTGTGATCATTAGCTACAAAGTGTTGTCAGTGGCTTTTCTGTTCTGTGCTGAAGGAAGCATTGTTTTAACTTAGGCGTTCTTGTTTTCATTTTCTTTTAACTGCTGCTAGTTATTTCAAATATCTCTTCTTAAGTAACTTTACAGGTGGCAAATAGTGGCATGTAGCTCAAGTAGTGATTACTTCTGGATCATTTGACTGTCCCTTTTCATCTCTAAAAGCATATTAAGACTAAAAGGGATAAATTATTACTGATAACCTATGATAGTGAAAATATATTTTAGTTAAAAAAATCAAAGTTGTTTTCAGTGTTTAATAGATAAAATTTTAATTTACTATTCTTTGTATTTCCTTTTTTATGTCTTTTTTTATGAGGTATTGATCTGTGAATATGCTTAGGGAAATCGATGTCAGTAGAGAAAATGAAAAAATACAGCCAAACATGGTAGCGTACACCTGTAATCCCAGCTACTAATAGGTCAAGACAGGAGGGTCCCTTGGCCCACAAGTTTGAGACCTGGTTGTAGAGACCTCATTTCAGAACAGAGGATCAGAAGGAAGAGAAGGAAGAATAAAATGATGAATTAAACATGAATGACAACAGTTTTTCTCATCATGATTTTTGTTAAATAGATTTGAAGTGTATTTATGAAGTTAGTATGACTTGCTGTACAGTAAAAGTATTGCAATCACTTTTGTCTTCATAGCTTTCATAGTAATCGTCCAAGTAAAAGATTTTGTATATTTAAGACACATTCTGAAAATCTCAGGTAAGTAATTGATCTTTTTTTAAATTCTTTGTATTGAAAATTTATTATATAATTTATTTTTCTTATGTAATAATTTTATTGAGGTAGAATTAATCTGCTATATTAGTTATTTTTCCTTTTGCTAGGATATAAATACCTTAAAAAGTACCTAAAGGGAGAAAGAGTTTATCTTGACTCACAATTGGAGGGTATAGTCTGTCATGGTAGAAAAGTCATGGTGGCAGGAATCTGAAGGTAGTTGATCATGCATTGTCTGCAGTTAGGAATCAGAAAGCAATGAATATTGTCACTTAGCCTTCTTTCTCCTTTTTATTTAATCCAGGACCCCAACTCATGGAGTTGTACACCTGCAGTTAGGGTGGGTCTTCTGACCTCAGTTAACCTAATCTCGACGTTCCCTCACAGATGTGCCCGGAGGTTTGTTTCCATGATGATTCTAAATCCCACCAGCTTGACAGCCAAGATTAACCGTCACATAAGCCTTTACTTAGTGTGTTTAGCTTGTACACTTGATAGGTTTTAGTATATTCAGAGTTGTACGTCAGTCATCATAGTTAATAGCAGTACATTTTCAGTACTTAAAAATTCCTGGGCTGGAGGGATAGCGTAGCCATTAAAGGCTAAGGCTAACAACAACAACAACAACAACAAAAAATTCCTATTCCCTGGGGCTGGAGAGACGGCTCAGCAGTTAAGAACACTGACTGTTCTTGCAGAAGACCCGGGTTTGAATCCCAGCATCCACATAACAGCTAACAACTGTCTGTAATTCCAGTTCCAGGGGATCCAACATCTCTTCTGTCCTCTGCGGGCATTGCATGACACGGGTGCACTTACCTACATGCAGGCAATACCTGCGTACACATAAAATAAAAATAATATTTTCTAAAATTCCTAATCCCATTTATTAGTCATCAGCCCTATATAAGTAGAGTGATATACTCTGTGGTCCTTAGTGACTGCTTAGCAAGGTTTATCTATGTTGAGGCACATATTAGTACTTCATTTATTTAAATTGATGAGTAGTATTCCACTTTATGGATATACCATGTTTTATCCAGTTGTTCTGTTTTTATTTAGCGACCATTATAAATAATGCTGCTACAAACACTTGTGTATAAATTTTTGCACAAACACACCCATTTCTCTTGTAGCATACACTTAAGAATTGGTTTGCTGGGTTGTATGCTAACTACCTATTGAGCTTTTGAGAAACTGCTAGACTGTTTCCCACCACACCTGACAGCAGTGCATAAAGGTTACAGTTTTTTCATCTTTTCTAGTGCTTTTTTTTTTTTTTCGTCTTTTTGAGACAGGGTCTCCCTGTAGCCCCAACTGTCCTGGAACTCACTATGTAGACCAGGCTGGCCTTGAACTCACAGAGATCCGCCTGCCTCTGCCTCCCGAGTGCTGGAATTAAAGGCGTGCGCCACCACGCCTGGCCCTCTAGTGCTTATTTTTTTATTACAGCCATTCTAGTAGATATGAAATGATACGTCATTATGGCTTGCTAACTTTTATTAGCCTCATGTCAGTATGCCAATTTGGTTGCTAGATGTTTTTGTTATTGTCAGATCAGAGGTATGTCATATAGTTCTCCTGGTAAATTCACTATAGTGGTAACAAATGGTGCCCAGATGAAGTACATACGCATTGTAAAGTGAGAACAGAAATAAGGCTTTCCAATATTTGAATATCAAAGAGATATCTAAGATATCTAGTAAAATGACATTTTAAGTTTAAAACTTTATTATTGGGTGTATGATGTGTATGTGTGAGTGTAGGTATACACATGCCACAGCACACATGTGGAGGTCAGAGGACAACTGTCAGAAGTCTGTTCTTTCCTTCTACCATGGATTCCAGGCATTGAATTCAGACCATCAGTCTTGTACAGCAAATGTTTTTACTCACTGAGCCATCTTCCCAATCCTCTTTTCAATTTTGAAATAAATTTAAGCCTCTAGAATTCCTTTCATCAGTATATAGTCTTCATAATTTTTTTTCCTATTCAAATCAGGGAAAATGTGTAATTTGGCTGTATATAGAAAAAATGAGTATTTCTAAATGCATTGACAATTAGCTTTGTTTATGCATAACCTATACATAGTCCATGTTCTTCTCATTTGCTTGGACTGTCTTAGTTTATTCTGCTTATGTCATCATTTTCCTTGGAATAATCTGATTCTTTTCCCCACAAAGCTAATCTGTTGAGGTAAGCTTAGCCAGTATTTGTTTTGATGCTTGGAGTTAGTGGAAAAGGTAGGAGAGTGGATAATATTTCAGGACCTTTGTGTTTATTATCCCCTGTGCCTAGTGTGCTCTTTTTAGATACTACATTATTACTGTATCTCTACTCTGTTGCCTAATTCTGTGCTTGAATTCTACATTTAGAATTTGTATATTTCTTCCCATGCTTCAGCTTAGTAGTTATACTTGCAAGTTCTGTGTGTGTGTGTGTGTGTGTGTGTGTGTGTGTGTGTGTGTTTATGTACATGCATGCACTCTTAGGCACCTGCTGCCATGTACATGTGAAGGTCCAACTTGTTGGTTTGGAGTTGGTTCTCTTCTTCCATCACGTGGATTCTAGGGATCGAACTCAGGTGGTCAGGCTTGGCAACAAATGCCTTTACTTGCTGAGTCATGTTGCTGGCCCCAAATTAATTGATTTCTATGAGTGGAATTTAGAATATTTATAATTCTTTTACACCAAAAATTTTGTAATTGATTATGCGTTTATCGTCTACATGATATGGCAGGTACTGTATAGATGAGTGAAGTAGAAGCAGCATTCTGGGAATGGCTAGTTTTTGCTTTTAGGCAGTACATGGGGTGAAACACAAACTGTGGGTTTTCATTTGTGCAATGATTGATTTCAAAGAGGAGTGAGATTATTTGGAATAATAATCTAGATACTGTTGAGCATTTAGCTTTTTCAAGCATGAGTTTCTGCTAGTAAAAGCAGAAGAAATAGCACAAGAACACATACATGGAAAAGTAGAATGGAGAGAATGTCTAACAGTAAATGGATAGAGCATGAAGCTCCCGTGATAGTAACAGATTTCAGTCTGGGCAACAGTTTTGATCTCAGAGGCAGATTTCTTAGCATTGAAGATGGAGCTAAGGAGTTTGAACTTAATTCATAAGGCATTTGGAGAGCCGTTAATGTTTTGTATAGAATCAGGTATCCTGAAGGAAGTTGAATTCACCTGTACACAGGGTGAGTTATTTACAGGTTCATAAATCGTGTATCTAGTGGCTATTGGGTGGTTAGATCTGATTTTGTAAAGTTTCGAGTTAATATGGTGAGATGGAATTGCATTTCAAACTGGATTGTGACCTTTACCAGCTCTAATTGTGTTATAGCAGAGCAACCTCCAGGTATAAATTCACAGCAGGCTGTTAGACTAGAACTTCAGGGGGAAGTTGGTCTGAGATACCCTATTTGTTTTCATACCTTTGTAAAGCACATTTGTGCTATGTTGAGCTTCAAAAATACATATTTTGTTATTAAACCAACAATAACAGTGATCACATTGCATGATCACTTTATTTTTCATTTAAGCAAAAAATAATTTAAAGAATCATATAGTCCCCTAAAAGTAGAGGAGTTATAGCCAAAACAAATAACAAAATAGTAGGGAGTCAAATTCAGTTTTCTCTACTTTGACACATTGACACAGTATAATACTGTTTTATTTTCTCTGGGCCTGGGTTTCTTTAACCTTTTTTTCTGCAGACCAACTTTCTCTATTAAAGACACAAATCTAACAGTTTAAACCTCCCACACTTTCCCAAATAAAGAAATGTGTGGATGTGCCGGTGTGCCTGGGGAGGTCAGAGCAGGATGTTCAGTGTCTGTTGCTCTTGCCTCATTGTCTTGAAATAGGATATCTTACTGAACTGGAGGCTCGCTGTTCTGGCCAGGCTGGAGGAAACACCCAGGATCTGCCTGTCTCTGTCCACCAGTGCTAGGGTTATAAGGACCTCAGCTGTACCTGGCTTTTAACATGGGTACTGAACTCAGGTCCCTATGGTTGCAAAGCAAGCATCCTTAGCCATTGAGCCATCTCCTTAGCACCCAATTTTCTTTCAAATAGTTCTTCAGTGCTTGACGCTGACAAGTTTCTAATTGCTTTACTCTCAGAAATCCAGTAAATTAAATGACTTTCTATGTCCTCTGAAACAGTGTTTTTATACACTTAATATTTTTAAATGCCTTTCAACAAAATAATCACAAGTCTAAACACATGTTAAATTATAATCTTAAAGCCTGTGATATGTACTTTAGTTTGGGCCAATTCTTCTAAATATGTAAAGCCCTATCCTTTCTCCCAAATTAGCACTTCCTGACTAGTCTTTCTTTTGATGCCATTTCACTTGACGCTAAAGTTCAAACTAGTCTTTGACTTTTCTTTCTTAAAATACTTAACATGTCAAGAACTTCATAATATCAATAATTGAGTACTTAACTCTACCCACTGATTTCAGACATTTATAATCTCATCTAAATCTTACAACTTGAAGAAGTAGGTATTGTAATTAACCACCTTTTATAGTGGTTTGAGTAGGCTTAATTGTCTTCTATTGTAAATATGCTTCAAATAGTAAATGTTACACATTTTTGTATTTTGTATGCAGAAAAAAAAATTCAATGACCATGGGAAATTTTGAAAATTTGTAATTATCATGTTTCATTTAAGAATTGCAGTACTCTGACGTTTTGTTAAAGACAGTGAGTAGCTTAGTCCCCAGCTGATAGGTAGTTTGTTGTCCTATCATGGAGAGGAATTCAGATGTGCAGACTCCAGTATCTTGTTAGCTACATTTGTTAATTTAGTATTAAAATGATAGTATCACCAGTTGTGGGTGCTTGTTGTGAGAACCTGACATGCAACGGTTGATGGTCACTGGGACACAATGTCTTTAAAGCCTTTACATTGCTCTTCTCATTTTATCTTTGACTGAATAAAACACTGGATTGTAATTCCATCGGAACATGGACTAGAAAGTTTTTGTCTACCATTATATTCATGCTCTCTAGTAGTATAGTATGTAAAAATAGCCTCAATAAATATGTAAAATGAGTGAGTGCTTTGCCCACATCTTCAGATGGCAGAGGCACAGTATGACTTGCCTAAATTAATGCAAGCTCTTGGTGGAGCTAAGACTGCTTATGGATCTTTGACTCCTAGCATTTTTCAACTACTTCAAAAGGTAAATGTTAAAGCGTAAATACATTTTTAATTTTATTTGTGGTACTGGGTTTTAAAGTCAGGATGTTGTCCATGTTAGGCAAGCACTCTACCACTGAACTGTCTTCCTAGTTTTAAAACATGAATACTTTATATAAATAAATGACATAATTTAGACATGATCGTGTCATTGTTTTTTAGAGGATTATATCAGTTATGTCAAATTTATATGACAAAAATGGTAAGTTATGACACAAAAAGCAAATCATGGAAAATATTATTGAACTTGTATGTGGATTTCATAAAAATTTTTTATGCTTTTTTTTTTTTTTTTTAATAGGGGCATTTCTCTAGTGTGCCTTAATTGTGATTTCCTAACCGACGTTTCTGGCTTAGATAATATGGCCACACATTTAAGTCAACATGAAGCTCAAACTTGCCGAGTTCTAGTAGAGAAAGGTATGTACATATGACTGCTGTTTATCAGTCATTTTTGGTCAGCCACAATATGGGCTCTTTACTAAATCTTTTTTTTTTTTTTAACTCAGAGTTGTAGTATACTCTTGTAAATGTAAAACTTTTCTTCTAATTTCAGTTTCTGTTTGTATCCCAACTTCTGAACATCTTTCTGAGTAAGTTTAATTTTTATTAAATGTGTTTTACTTTGATGGATTTTATCACTTATCACATTCTTAAGTGTATTGTTAATAGGAATGAAAAATATTAAACTATGTTGTTTTTATTTTTAAGCTGCTTGTTGAAATAGGTTCCTGCTCTAAGGAGCTCATGACCTGGTGCAAGACAAGTTGGGATTTCCCAAGTTCAGAGTTCTGAGATGTTTCTCACACAAAGGCAGCTATGCAGCCAAGTCCAGGACACTAGCTCTCAGTACTCAGTTCTCAGTGTTCCCGTGGGTCTAGGCTCTTGTTCTCCCTCATCTTTGCGTCAGACTCGCATGTCTTGACATACTTTTTTTTTTTCTCTCCAGTTGGTTCTCTAAAAATAACTTTTGTTGCTATGGTCTGTTCTTTGCTTAAAATAATTTGTATTTCTCTCTGTTCTACTTGCATCCAGAATAATACATTTCAAATGCTGTGACTGCCTGTCTTTCTTTTTTTCTGTCCTGTCTGCTTTCTCCATACCTTATGCCGTGAGTGTTTAGGCCAGATGGTTTTCTCTTTCCTCATTCATTGTCTGTCATTGTGCTATTTTTCTTATTTTTCAGATGCAGAAACAGCCCAGAGATTTCAAAAAATGTCCAGGGTACACCTGGACAGTATTTCCCTTCGATGAACACAAGTGATGCCTGTTCTCTCTTTCCGAGGAATGTGAATAGTTTGACTGTGGAACCTGCTCTAGGTTCTAGCCTCAAGAGACAGTGTTTTGGGGAGACTCCTTACTTGTCTGGCCTTCCATCAGGCTGAGGCTAATTTAACCAGAGATGTCCTCAAGGCCCATGTAATTGAGCATGACTCCCATTGGGGACTTTGGCTCTTGATGTTAAGTTTATGGGCCAATTGTGACCAAAAAAAGCCCATCAGTTCAGTGCTTTGATACCCAAATTGAAGTTTAGTCATTTTGGCTGCTGTTCTTCAGTTTTCTTCTAGCTTTAATGCAGTCCAAGAAATACAAGAGCTCTCATTGTTGGGAAGTAATGTCTACTTAGCCCTCGCAACAGCAGCTCTTAGAGATAACATTCCAAAACTGCACTTATTTTTAATATACTTGAAAATATATTACCCAGTATTAACTATAATTTTAATGCTTATTCTCACATTTTATTTTGAAATTTTAAGTTAATTCTAATAGCTGATCCTCTGTTCTTGAAATTGATTGATGTCTATTTTAACCGTAATTTTAATACTGATTCTCACATTTTCTTTTCCATTAATTCAAAAAGCTTGATCTTCTGTTCTCTAAATTTATTTATGTCTCTTTTTCTAGTCTTTACAACTTTAATGTTTCTTTTATTTTGACAAGAACTCCAAAAGATTATTTAGGTTGCCCATTTGTAGCCTGTTACATTACTGTTACTTAGACCATTATTATGTCCTCTGTCCCTAGTTCAGGATTATTAATCCTAGTAATTGTGAGTTTTAAGTTACACTGAACTAGTGAGGCTTCTTGCAGATCTTAAAAACAAGTTTAAAGTAACATTTGTATATTTAATATATAATCTCATTGAGTCCTTAATGTTATTCCTTTTGGTAAAAGTAACATTAACTATATATGCTAACTAATAATGTATGTTTCTTTCCTACATATATATTAAATTTGTAACTTGTTTATTTTAGCTACATTGAGTACAGATCTATTAATTTTGATCTGTTATTTTAATAAAACTTGTGGTGTCTGAATGTCTCAGTAGTTATTTGCTAGTGAATAATCTCATGTAAAAACTAAAATTTATCTTACAAATAGAAGCATTGCATTAACTGCTATTTGGCAGTCTTAACTGGCATATAGACTGAGTGCAGCATCTACTTAGTCCATCTTGCATTTTCTCTCTAGCCCTACTAAAAGGTCCCTAATTTATGCTACAGTAATTTCTTGGATTTTTGAAGACTAACCAATTGCTTTTGATTGATTGATTGAGTGAGTGAGTGAGTGAGTGAGTGAGTGAGTGAGTGAGTGATATGTTTATGAGTGTTTTGCCTGCATGTATGTTGTGTGCCCATGCATGTAGCGCCCACAGAGACCAGAAGAGGACGTTAGATCCCCTAGAACTGGCATAATGGATGGTTATAGGCTGCCGCATGGGTGCTGGGAACTGAACCCGGCTCCTTTGTAAGAGCAGCCAGTGCTCTTCACTGCTGAGCCATCTCTCTAGCCCCATAAAGTGCTTTTTTGTGATCTTACTAGCCTTGAGGATCCACAGGCTCTGAAATGACGCTAAAGCCTTTTTTTACTTGCATTAAAAAATGCATTTGTTTTATTTTTGCTCCAAAATCAGAACTTCCATTTGTGCTTTTGGAGACAGATAAAACCATTTTAAATGACCTCTTCTTTTACTGTATTCCTTGCAATTAACAGTATAAAAAGGTTGAATCCATTAGTCTTAAGCTTTTGAACTGAAATTTCCAAAACCTGCAGAACTGTCTTACTGCTGTGTAGTAGACTTGAAATACTGATTGCTATTACTTTATCATTTTTGTCCATTTATTTTTTTAAAATTGACCAGAAAAGGCCATTCTCAGTGTTGTAGTGTGGGAGCACTACCACAGAACTGGGTTTTTGTTGTTGTTGTTGTTTTTAAAATATTATATTATTTTTATTTTATGTGTATGCATGTATTGCCTGCATGTAGGTGAGTGCACCCATGTCGTGTAATGCCCACGGAGGACAGAAGAGGCTGTCGGATCCCCTGGAACTGGAGTTACAGACAGTTGTTAGCTGCCATGTGGGTGCTGGGATTCGAACCCCAGTCTTCTGCAAGAACAACCAGTGTTCTTAACCACTGAGCCATCTCTCCAGCCCCAGAACTTTTTTTATAGCATATATCAAGTTTATTTCTTTCCTTTTTCCCTTTCCTTTTATATTTTTTCCTTTTCTTTATTTTCTTTTTAAATGAGATAAAGCCTTGCTATGTAGCTTATTGGAACTCATGGTCCTCCTGCCTCGACCTCCCAAGTGCTGGGATTATAGATAAGCATGTGCCACAATACCCTGCTACATTTTCTCTTATTTGTGACACTTGTAACTTCATTTAAAAAAATGGTTTAAATAAAATAGCACAAAATTTTGTTTATTATAGGCAGTTTGTTGAATTTTTTAGTACTAATGAGTTTTTAACTTAAGTCTAATCTGTCTTTACCATTAGGTTTTCAAAGTAGTTGATTGCCTGATCAGATAAAGCCATTTCATGCTTGTATGCTTTGGGGTTACTGCTGAGTAAAAGGTGTAATTAGTACACTCTGAATCCATCACCACTCTCAGGAAAATGATTCTGACTGTATCCGTTTGGATTCTTACCTTGTTTCGGGCAAAACATACTTATGATCTCTTTGGATCACAAGTATTCATTCATAGACTACTTATTGAACATGTACTTTATGCTAGGCACTGCTCTCTGTGCTAGATAGACTGTAATCACTGCCCATAATGGAGCTTACACTCCAGTGGTTAAAACAGACAATTAAAAAGTAAATAAAGTAATTAGCACATTAGAGTATGTTCAATATTATGAAGTAGAGAAGAGAGTAAAAGAAATATGAAGTAGGAGTTGGAAGGCACTGTTTTTAGATGTGATCAGGAAAGACCCCACTCAGAGATGACCTTTGAGTAAAGACATGAAGGAGGCAAGGAAGTGTAACATGGGTACTCACTTTAGAGTTCTGGGGTTCTGTTACTCAGGATTGGTTAGACCTTAACATCAAGTTCTTATGAGAAGGTGAATTCGGAATACCACATACCCCTCTTCCCAGAAGTAGAAACAAGGATTCTTGACCTTGAGAAAATTAAATGCCCATGCTACTCATAGGCAAGTTCAACTCTACATGGACTTTTAGAAACGTGATCCTGCTGTATTTCTATAAAAAGATAACTGACTCCAAATCTGAAGTGTACAACTAATATCCAGAATTTATACACGGTATGGGGAAAACCTTTCTGAGGTCAAGTAAATCAAGGAAGCATTGGTTGAAATTAAACAGATATTCTAATGTATTTTTCATTGTATATGTGAATGTCTAAGAGAATATTTATTGGTCCTTGAGATTTTTTTTTCTTCAGTACTTACTTGACATTAATCTTCCTAGGGTAGCATGTAGAATCCTGATCTATAATTCTTCTTAATTGGAAAATGAAAAGTAATTGTGTAGATAATGGCTAAGAAGGACTCCTAGAAATTTCACCCATGTTCATGAATCATTTATAAGGTAAAGTATATAATTAAATGCTAGCAAGTACATTTTCATATTTTTAGAAATTATATCAGGAAAAATGGTATCCTCATTATGTTTATAAAATCAAAGTATGTGACAGAGGCAGATGAGTTACTAGCTTACTGTGCCTCCGATTGTAGCCAGAAGGAATGCTTCTGCTGAAGAGTATGGTTGCCTCCTGTGAGTCCACAGTGAGAGAAGCTTAAGGACCTCTCATAGTTTCCAGCTTTTCTGTGCAACTTCTTAGTAATCTACCCACTTACCTAGTTTTTCAAGACTATTATTATTTCTGGCCTTAAAATTATTATTATTAAGAAGTATATTTTTTTTAATTTAAAAAAAAATTTTTTAGAGGAAGCATTCATTACAGCTTTAACATACTCAATAACAATTTCCAGAGCAAAGACACATCTCTTTCAAAAGTGGCCATAAAATTTTTAGGTTCACAGTTGAATTAATACAGTTATACAATACTGAACTCAGTATAAACCCTGTAAGACATAAAATTGAGGGGTTTTGTTTGTTTGTTTTTTGTCTTTTTGAGACAGCGTCTCCCTGTAGCCCCAACTGTCCTAGAACTCACTATGTAGACCAGGCAGGCCTTGAACTCAGAGATCCTCCTGCCTCTGCCTCCCAAGTGCTGGGATTAAAGGCGTGTGACACCATGCCTGGCCAAAATTGATTGAGTTTTTAACCTTTAAAAAAGATCTCCATTTCATTTAAAAATATACTTTTTCTTATAGAAAGACTCATTGTTTTTGCTAATAACACTTAGATGTATATTTTTTTTAAATTCTTACTTTATAAAGTTTTATTTCCTTTGTAAGTGACTTCAGGCAATTTTCCTTGTTATAGTTAGAGGATTTGATACCTAGCTCCATGTTAAATCTTCCCTGACCCTAAACAGACTCCATGATATAGTTACATATAGGCTCTGCAGTAGATTGCTTAGTTTGGAGTTCATGCCTTGTTATTTACTAGATGTGAGTGACTCTAGGTAGGTTACCTGACTTCTATGTCCTAATTCCTTATTTATAGAATTTAGATGACAAAAGTACCTCCTTACAAGGACTGGGGGAATTAAAGGAATAAGTATATGCACATGATACTTGGAAAGTGGTTAGTATAGGAAATGAAGTATGAGGGTGTGGTGGCTGTGATTGTTGTTATATCACCATCCTTGATTTTATTTCTGCCTATATTTTACTGAGAGGGAATCGCCCTGAATTTCAGTCTGTTTGTCATTCTAGCCAACCTATATCATTCCACAAATTATTTTTGCTAACTTTTTTTCTTGTCTACCAAATTAGTGTCGCAGCATATATTAGTTATACCATTTATAGATTTTTGGTGTCTAAAGCTCACTAAGCTTATATTTTTAGGGAATACTTATGAATGCTTCAGGTTCATTGTAGGCATATCTATCTTTTTAAAATGTGTATCAGTATCTTCCACTGAATTATATTGCCTTGTACTCGACTACTTTATGGTTCATCTTTTTTTTTTTTTTTAAACTAGCTCTGCCAAGTTTTTATTAAAGAAAAACTTTCTAGGTTTACTTTTTACCAGTCTGCTCTGGCATGCTTCTAATAATATCAGAATCACCTAGAAAATAAAAGTTATACAATTCATTTAATGGCACCTGGTAAATCACAAAACTTCCCTACAGTGGCTACATGTTCTTGAGACAAGAGGGCAGATTAGCATTATTATCTGCAAAATACCATAATAGCTGCACTGTCACTTTTCTTAAGACAAAAAATATCTCAGAATCTTAGCCATCCTATGATAACATGACCTGGTTTGTCACTAGCATTTAGAAAACCAGACCTAGGGAAAGAACTAGGCCTAGGGACATGTGCATGGTCTTACTATAGCAAATGTTTAGCCTATGGTTCATCTTATACTCAGCCCACTTGTGATTTTGAGATCCTCCTACAGCCTTACTCTTATCAGCTTGGTATTTGACTACCTGGAGATGCTTACTCTCCCTATTTGTATCATTTGTTGAAATATGAGACCCCTGTGATCTTAATCCTTCACACTGAAAATCTGTTAATCCATACCACTCTTCAGTATGGTGCTGTGAAAGAAATGTACCCAGACATAGGCTAACCCTAGTTGTATATTACGCTATAGCTTCAGTACACTCTTAACCCTTGCTCAGGTTTTTCATCACTGAAAGATGCATGGTAATTCCTCTGGGTGGCTGTAAGAAGAAGAAATAATGTATGGGAATTAACTAGTTACTAATTTGAGTAGTTTACCTAAATATTTAAATTATGTGGCACAGGCTTTAAAGTAGGCACATAGTAAATGTGCATTGTTATTGCTGCTGGCCTTGTTACTGCTCTGGCTGTTGCTGCCACTGCTGTTTTATCACTGCTACTGTTACTACTGCTCCTGCTGCTCATGCTGTTGTTACCGCTATGTACTGATGTCTGGAATCTTTTCATCATTGAGTCTTAAGTGGCAGTCTATCTACTGTGGTTATTCACTGTTTTGACTTACAGTGCAGTCTTACAATCTACTGGGTGAAAATGACACTGCAGTGCTTTAACTAAATGTTGTGCAATTTCCTAATGTCTGAATTGAGTATAATTCTGCCTGTCTTGTCTGAAGACTCTGGAACTGTTTTAATCACTGCCTGATTAAAAACTAGTACAGAATCCTCTCTTTTTAGAAGGACAACAGTCCTTTTTAAACTTAGAGCTTTCCTTCCTTAAAGACAACCTTTTAAATTTACTATTATCCAGTATTCAATTCGAAAAACCCTTAGCTGCTTCACCAATACTAATTTTTTTTATTTTAATTAAAAGAAGCATTTCATTACAACAGCATTAACCTATTCAATAACATTTTTCTGAGCTAGGGTACATCTCTTTCAAAATTGGCTGTACATTTCTAGGTTTACAGATGAATTATTGTGCTTATATAATCTTTTACTCATTATAAACTCTATAAGACATAAAATTAAATGAGGTTCCAACGTTTAAAAAAGATCTCCACTGCGTTGTCAAAACACACAGTTTCATACAGAAAAATTCATTTCAGGGCTCTTGACATTGAGACGTTTTCACATGCATTTCTAATCTCTATATACATGACTATCACTGGTCACAGTCACCCACCTTCTGAGCTCCTCGGCATCTGAGCATACTAATTTTATGAAAATGCAAATAATTGTACTGGTTAGCAGTAGTCATGCAGTTGTATGACTATGAACTATGTTTAGAGTAGTGAAGTAATTTTTTTAAATAATCTACTTTTCTCCAGTGTTAGAGGTAATACTGGACTCAGTCATGAAATTGCTCCTTTGTTCCCCTTGTCTCCATTTTCTTCTATGTTCTCCTGTGTCTGTCAGTATAGATTCACTATACAACAGAATTGGAGTATTAAATTTTCTAACGTGCTGTTCCTTGATGAAAAAATAGAGAAGAGAAATATAAGTCTCTTAGCACTTCTTCATGGCACAAGAATCTAGAGCAATACATTATATATAATTCAAGCCTGGAAAGCCAGGCTAGTTCATGAGCATTTATTGATTGAATAAAATATTTTTAAAACACATATTTTGAAATGGTTTTCAGTGTTTATTTAGTTCCCTGAGTGACTCTTAAGTGTGTTCTAAGCAAAGACCCTCTTCCACTGCCTCACTGCTTTGTGTCAGACTGCCTCAGTTTCTTCATCAAATTTGTTATAAGGACTTAATAGACATGTAAAATGTATTTGCAGTTACAAATGTGTCCATTACACTTTATTAAACCCCTCTGATTTGAAGAACACTAGGAAGAAATGAAAGTAGAAAACTAACCTTCCTTGAAACTGAATTCTTCCCTCTTGTTTCAGAACCACTTAGATACTGAGTTTCACACTTAGCACCAGTAGTAACTCAATGCCTCTTTGATAGTATACTATAAATAACCTTTCCATATATTTATCAGCACTAAATGTTACACCCCACCATCCACTTACAAGACCATGTCAGGTATTAGGATCGGAAACATAACTGGAAGACACGCTTCATGCTACCAAGGTAACACAGAATAAAGCAGTCAGAGCTGTAAACTGAGTCTACACTGAATCCATGTCTTCACAGAGCCACCTTATTTCACAATTAAATTGTTCACACTATGTGTAAGTTAATCACTTTTCTTTCTTTTATTGAATTTCTGTGTATTTCATACATAAAATCATCCTTATACCCCACTTCCCCTTCCCCTTTGGCACCTCCCATAGCGCCCCCCACTGGAGTTCATACATTCTGTCGGTTGTGTTAAGGCCTATTATGTAAAATTAGTGTCCTGAGATGTCCCTCAGTGTAATTTCATCCACACTAGCGTTTAGTCAACCTATCTAGAGTCTGTCTCTCCCGTTGGTAAATCACTTTTCATGTATGCAGGTAGTAAGCAAATTGCTATTGGCAGAGGCAACTTTTTTTCTTACACCTTTACATTAGAAAATACTGTTTTGTTTAAAAAAACATTTACTGAATCTGTGGACGTGGAATAATATGTAAGGGGCTAGTCCTTTATTTCCTGTGAATTTCTGACCAAAGTTGGAGTTATTACTGGTTCTAGTCATAATCTTAAGTTGTAGAGTCTTAGATGTTGTAAATGTCATAGATTCATTTTTTATATTTAAGTTAGCATGGGATAAAGAACAAGCCCATCTGAGCTGTGAGCTCATTTGGGAACCCCCCCCTCCCTTCTATAAACCTCTCAAATGTAACTGTGTGTGATTGGAGATACCGGGAGATCTTCCTCCTGGATTAGTCACTAATATCTCAAACCAAATCTTCAAAAACTCGGATATTTTTTTCCATATCAAAGTAGATATAGTGCATGTAGCTGTAATGTGAAATTCCAAGCCAAATAGGTAGGAACTGTACATGAAAGGAGATTGTTTTCTGGAGGCTTAGGCTTCTGCCGTTGACAACTGTGCTAAGCAGGGAAGCAGGGAGACCAAGAGAGATGGAAAGATGAACTTCCTTGTCCATTTTGGACAAGCTGTGTCAACCTCTAACATTGATTCTGAGGTTACTGTGACTTTTTCAGTCTTCTAGTAGAGGGTGGTTCTTTATAAACAATAAAGGAAATATGCTGAGTGGAATTCCACATTGCAAAAAATCAATAATAATAATAATAATAAAGAGTAGAGCCCTTCTGGCATTAATTGTGCCTCCATTGGTGATCTTATTTTTCTTTACATTTTTTGCAAACAGACGTTTTGTTTGTTCCTTAGTTTTCTTTCTATCTACAATGATTTTTCTGCTTTTTAACATTTCTTTATTTCAGCATTGGAGGTCAAACCTAGGGCCTTTTGCATGCTAGGCTCCTTTCCTAGTCCAGTACCAGAGTTATGCCTGTACTGCTGAGCAGTAACTTTATTGCTGAGTGGTCTCCCCAGCCCAGCATATGCTAGAGCAAGTGTCCCACCACTGGGCCGTTAAACCCCAGCCCACTGGATGATTGGGTGACCAGTTTTTGATGACCAAATTAAACTCAGATGTTGAGTTGAAATAATTTCACACTAGTGAAAATAAAGCTAGTTCTACAGTAGACTGACAATCAAAATTAATGCCAGATATAATTTCACACTAGTGAAAATAAAGCTAGTTCTACAGTAGACTGACAATCAAAATTAATGCCAGATATGTTTGAGGGTGTGGTGGAAGCACAGAAGATGAAAACAGTGGAGATACTTAGATACTTAGTCTATGTTGTACACGCTGAAGTGCTGAACAGGAAGATTGTTTCACTCACCCCATAGCAATAATAATAGGCAACATTTATTGATCACATGAAATGTGTCAGAAACTCACCCAAGTATTTTGCATTTATTTACCCATTCTCACAAATTTATAAGAGCTGTCATTATCCTGAGGTCATGAAAAACTGAGTTACAGTAAATCAAATAATTTGGTGTAGGTCAAACTGTTACATAATCTCAAGTTGAATTCTGGCAGTCTTTGGAAATGAAATCACTATTGCACTCTGGTTGTACCTTTGTCTAGATGGACTTCTTCCTTCCTTGGTTGATTAGCGAAGGAACTGGTAAGGCCCAGCTTCTGCATGTAGTCCTCTTTCCACAGGATGGTAGGCAACAAGTGATAGTCACTTGGGACAGTAATCTAGCTTCCTAATTGTAGGGCAGTATTTCTGATGTATGGGCAACAGTATATTAGATCAGAGAATGACATGGACTTGACAGTCATACTGAAGGATGTTTTAGAGTGCAAAACATTTTGAGACAGAGAAGTTAGCTTTTTTCACTTTTTCTAGCATGATCATAAGGGAGCCTGATTCACAGGAGAGGAATCTGCTATGAAGCAATGCAATAGAAATATATTGTAATCATATACTTAATCCTGGTTCTATTACTATTATAATATTAGTATATAATATAATTCTATTACTATTATTAATATATTAATATAATATATAATACTATTTAGCATTTTAGGCCTCGTTTTCTCATCTGTGAGATGAGGGCAGGTGTGTAATATATTATATCTCTTAGGACTATCAATTAGACTCTAGTCTAATATACTGTATTTCTGAATTTTATCAACTTATTGAAAAACTACTAATGATTTCGAAGTTCCCTGGATAAAAATACTTGGAGTGGTCAATACTTATATGTGAATGTTTTACAGGCATCACAACCTTTTGTACATCCAAAGCTGAATTCATTTTTTCCTGCAAAAATACTTCATGCTCCCTGAATTCCTTATCTTAATGTCTTTATCATGTTCTGACTACTCAAGGCAGACATTGGGGTGGATTGGGTTTCTTTCACCTTGTGTACTTTTGTCTGGTAGATCCTTGAATTCTGCTGGCTCTAACTTTCCATGTCTCTAAGCCTTCCTGTGCTCCATTGACACAGGTGCTATTTTAGTTAAGAGAGTAACTGTTTTTGCCTACTGGAACTTGCCTGTCTTTCTACTAATGCACATCTGGTCATACTTCTCTTTTCGCCTTAAGTTCTTAGTATGGACACTGGAATATAGCAATCAAGATCTTCCCTGAAGTCACCTTAGCTGTCTCTTCAGTTTTATCTTTGACTACTGTTTTATTTTTTCTTTTTGCCCTGTTTCTGCAATATGAGACCATATAATGGAGTTATGTCTCTGCCATCTTGTTTCTTGGTAGTTTGTTTGGTTTGGTTTGGTTTCTCCTGTTCTGATGACTTTCTACTTTGCTAACTCCTGCTCTTCCTACAAAACAAAATTTCACTGTTCTCTTTGCTACATGCTTTCCTGTCTCCCCATCACACTGGCTCAGTCTTTTGAGAAGCCATTGCATCATATCAGTTTCTTTTCTAAAAGTTTTCACGTTTTTCTGAATTCTTGTTGCAGTGTGTTTTCCTTGATGTTGAACTCAAGAGGACACTCTTTCTTTGGATTAGAACACTTTGTATACTGGAGTGTGTGGAGTGTGGTAAATGTTTAGCTTGTACCCACATCAGTCTATTAACACTTCTCAAAGAAAATGATCAGAAAGATATACTTGGTGCTTTACTTTATTTATTTACTTTATTTCTTAATCTGGTGATGACTATGTTTAGCCTTGACTCTCTTAAAGTGGTTGTTTTTACCACTGACGTGTACATCTTCCTTTGCTTTTACATGGGTGCTGGGGATCTGAACTCAGGTCCTCATGCTCAGGCAGCAAATACTTCATCCACTGAGCCATCTCCACAGCCCCCTTTTCACAAAACTTCTTAAATTGAAGTTTGTATTTTTTTTAAATTAGCATTGAAGTTTTGGACTTTTGAACGTTAATTAGAAACAAAGAATGGACCTACCTGAAATGAACCTGAGTATTTCCTTCTTGTGGTTCTTTCCCTCACCGCATGGTATATTTATAGTAATGAAACCTCAAACGAACATGATACTGTAATTGAACCAGAACATTACTCTATGTGTAACCTTGTGTTGTGTATATGATCTGCAGAAACATGCAACTAGGCTCATCCTAGTTCATTTCATTTTAGACTTAAGAGGAAAGGGATTATCCTTCTTACATCAGAAATCTATTTCAACAGGTTTCTTTGAACAAGAAAAGTTACTTATTTTCAAATCTAATAACTAATGGTGAAATCACTTGCCAGTTAGTATTTCTTTTCTCTTGGTCATGAAATCTTAGTATTTGTTTTAAATACTACACTACGTTTTTCTGTAAAAGCAGTATTACAGCATTCACAAGTGAGAAGTGTAATCATCTGGTGGCAGATTATTAGCTTAGAACTTTGAGCTTAGTAAATTGACTACATCTCAAAGTATAATTATTTCAGCAAGTATCTTTAATATCTTTAGGTACAAAATTATAGTTTTCTTTTCCAAATGAGTAAATGGTAATATTAGCAACTTGTATTAAAATTTATGAATCTTAAAGTATATTTTTATGGTTGTAAAATCGTAGTGTATTTTCTGGTGATAAATTTATAATGATGTAATTTAAAGTGTACATTTCTGATTTATTTTAGAGTTGGTTTTCTAAGTCTTACTGATTATTACAATTCTGTCCTATAAAGAGACTACTAGCATGGTAAAAGCATAAAGTAAGATTGTGATAATAAGTCTCTTAGTGCTGGTTACTTAGAAACATCTTGTACTCTCTCCTCTTATTTTCCTAACCAGTATAACAAAAAGTAACAAAAATCTCCTTTACCAACATCCTAATGCAGTTATTAAGAGGACTCACTTTCCCTGCTTGAAATTCCTGAAATAGTAGTTAAACGTACTTAATGGCTTTTGTTTTCTTTGCTGAATAAGATTTATTTATTACTATAGACGTGGAGGTGACTACGAATGATAATACTGCTTTTTACTAAGAATCTAAGGTCTTTGTTAGCATTTTCAATAGTATGGTAAGAGGAAAAACCTTAAATACTTTAAAATACTTTGACCAGTTTGCTTCAGTTTTTCAAACTGAGTTTAAGATGATTACTTAGAAATGAAAGTCAGTTACAATGGAGAAATTCTTGATTTCAAAATTTCATTAGTAAAATTTCTGCTTTTTCAAACAAATGTTTTATTTTCTTATTTATACATAGTATTTATAAAGCTATTATTATTTTCCCATATAATTCATTAAAGCAATGAAGTTGTACTATATAATTTACATAATATTTTCATGTATGTCATTGCTCATATTTAAATATTTAAAACAATTCTAAAATCTTTAACACAGAAAGGAACTGAAATTTGTGTTTTCATTTTTTTGTGCAATTTTTATTCTTTTGATTTTAACAGATTAATTGCAAATTGTTACATGCTTCTAGCAGAGTGATTCAACAAAAAAAACATGATCTGTTTTGTTTCCAATCTCATTTAATAACTGTAGATAAATAGTTATTTGCTAAATATAATATACAGTTATTTGCTAAATAATATACAGTTATTGCTATCTAGCAAAGCATTTGCAATTATAGCTTTTCTCTTTTTTTTTTTTCTTCAGTGATAGCACTGGGGGTTTGTGAAGCAAATGCTCTACTACTGCGTTGTGCCCAGCTGCCTATACCTCCTTAAAATCCATCCTTACAGAGGGTGGCAGAGGAGAGTTTATACCCAGTCCATCACTCACTGACTAACTGTGGAAAAAACTTTTAGGGTAGTTGGTATTTCTGTTAGATAGCTTCTTTCTTGTTCATGAAATTTGCCATAATAGTTTCTCTATGTTAAATATTCCTGGGCTTTATAAAATTATGAATCATTTTACTCTTCGTTTATGGATTTCAGGTCAGCTAGGCTCCCCTACTTAGGCACATGAAAATTGAAGTCAGTATAGACTATCAAGAATATTTAGTCCTCAGAAGTTTGTAAGACAAAGATCCTTTAGAAAAGCTAGCTTTTATATTGAGTTTTCAAGATTTTAGATATGTCATGTACCTTTGTTAATACTATGTTACAATTAATATTTTTGGGCAATCAAGAATTTTTAAAAATGTATGCTTTAAGCAATGCTTATGATGGTTTTTATGAGGACTTAACCTCAAAATTCTAATTTTTTCTGTTATTTTACTGCTTCCAGAGTAAGTTAAATATAATATATATTGAAATAGGTTTGTCACATTGTGTTTTGTAACAGATAAAAATTATCTCTTTTAGTCCTAAAATCAATAAGTACTAGTGCATATTATATATAGGCATATAGATCATTTTTCATGTTTAAAGTGTTTCTTTAAAATTGTTTTACTAATATATGATGTCTTTTGCATATAGATCACTTCATTTTTAAAGTGCTTCTTTAAAAATGTTTAACATGATATGTCTTTTTAAAAGTTTATATTTAGCAAATAAACAATTTAGCTCTGTTGTTTTTAGAGAGGGAAGAAGTTCATGTCCCCTTATTGTGTCCCTCCTCCCACCTTTTCTTTTTCCTTGGGGATCAAACCAAAGGTTCTCATACATGGCTTGACAAGCACTCTACCCCTGAGCCACAGACCTAGTCTGAAGAACATTTTTTTTATTTATTTACTTAGCATATTCACTAAGTCTGTTGTTTATTCTTGTGTACTTTATTTTTTCTTTAAATATTTACAAGCATCATTCACTGTTCTAGTATAAACTGTGCATTGGTTTAGTTTTACATTTTAATTAAGTATGCCAAAAATCTATTTCATATTTTCCAGTTGTAAGTATAATATAAAATAATCAATACTTATTTTGTTTTTAAGATTTAAAAATGAAGCTCCCACTAAGGGACAAGAATCTGTGTCTAAGGTAAAGTTTGTTTTATTTCATAACTTGATTTTTACATTTGGAGGAATTATTAACACAATTAAAAATTCAATCATAAAAATGTCAGCAGCAGTTATTGGTATGTTATAAAGAAAATAATTAACTGGATGTGGTGGTGCGCGCCTGGAATCCCAGCACTTGGGAGGCAGAGGCAAGCAGATCTTTGTGAGATCAAGGCCAACCTGGTCGTCATAGCAAGTTCTAGGCCAGCTATTGCTATAGGGAGTCTCAAAAAGACAAAACAAAACAAACTTAAAAATGATTTATGTTTTTCTTTTTTACCATTTCTAATGCTTTTCATTTAACTGACTTTCTGTTTCTGTTTCATCTCTTTTACTTTAAGAATTTCCTTAAAGTACTTTATTTTGCAGGCCCACGGGTAATTAATTTTCCCCAGGTTTTTTGCTTTAAAAAATTTTTCTTTGAGAGATATTCTTGGTGGGAATAAATTTCTGGATGAAGAGTTATTTTCTTTCAGTAGTTTAAAGAATTTTGTCATCTCTTGGCTTGCCTATTTTCTGACAAGATGTCTTATTCTAATTATTATTCTCGTTTCTCTCTATGTAATGTGTCATTTTTCTTTGGTTTCCCCTAAGATTTTATGTTTGTTTGCACCAATTTGAACACAGCATCCCAAGTCTATTTTATTCATTTGCTTATTTATATGTGTGCCTGTTTGTGTTTTAAATTATTTTGGCTTATTATTTGGTTTATCTTACTATTTTTTCTTATTGTTGTCTTAATACTTTCTCAACTGTCCTTACCTACTACTTCTGGATTCTAATTTTACATCTATTAAGCTACTTGATGTTAGCCCCTATTCTTAAATGCCTTGTTTTGGTTTCCACCCCCCAACCCATTCTTTCTTTTCCTTTTTGTTGTTCTCATTGAAATAGCTTCAGTCTGTAGTACTGTGAAGCAAATGGAAAGTTCCATCACCTCCCAATGATGCAATCAGATTATGAATTCAGGACCAATCAATTGATTCCAATAGAGTTCCCATGATCCTGTTACTGTTGTCATTACATCACCATCTTCAATAATTATAGATTCATACATAATCCATAACGGTTTGTTATTATCGATGCATTTTTCATATAAATGTTGTATGTGGCTATTTGATTGTTAAATATTATCACTGTACAGATTAAATTATTTCACTAAATGAACCAGTAAAATTAAATATTATCAATTTATACTAAGCTTTTCAAACAAATATAGCATTAAACAGTGAATTGGTACAATGTTCATAAGAAGAAAATGTGTGGAAAAATTGAACAAAACTATGGGGCTAGGGATACAGCTGGTTGATAGAGTGCTTACCTAGCATGCATGAAGCACCCTGGGTCCCATCCTCAGCACCATAAACCATATACTCATATAATCCACACATGTGTAAAGTGGAAGCAGAAGGCTGTCTTTGTCTTCATAACAAGCTCAAGACCAGCATGGAATTTATGAGATCCTGTCTCAAACAAACAAAAAACCCAAAAGATAGTAGTGTACCTTATGAAATTATTAATTAGAAAGATGATATTTACAAAAAAGTTTATTTTGAGCTGGGCGTGGTGGCGCATGCCTTTAACCCTAGCACTCAGGAGGCAGAGGCAGGTGGATCTCTTGAGTTCGAGGCCAGCGTGGTCTGCATAGTGAGTTCCAGGCCAGCTGGGGCTACAGGGAGACTCTGTCTCAAAAAGATCAATAAAAGTTTCTTGGCAGGGAGAGATGTGGTAATGAAATGAAACATTAGGTATATGTAAGGTGGTAGAAGCCAGTATTTCTCACCTAAAATAATTATGGCAAATTTGGTCTGTACTTATTAGTTCATAATTATAATCTAACATTGAATTATTATTGCATGTTACTTGCTGATTCCCATAATTTTGTTGATTGTTTTTTGTGGTCTGTTCAAATGTTGTTTGTTCTTTTCTTTTATACTTATTCATCTCAGGTATTACTGGTTTGATGCTTTGCTAAGCTCTTTCCTAAGCTCTCATAATCAAGACTGTCTTAGGATTGTCTTAGGATTCTTTTAAGTATCTTTGGCAATGCTGCCTTAATACTCACAAATTGTGCTTCTAAATTTCTTGGAACGTCTTTATATCTCCATCATTTTACACATTAACTTTGCTGGATATAATAATCTTGGTTGGAAGTTACTTATTCTCAGGCTTTCACCTGTATCATCACACGCTTTCCTGGCGTCGGGTTTCTACTGAGAGATTTCGTTTTATTCTTAAGTGTTTGCCTTTATGAGTTTTGGTTTAACTCTTAAAGCTTTTTAATATTATTTCTTTGTGCTGTAGCCTAGGCATTTCAACAATATTGTGAAATGGAGAGTTGTTTCTGGTCATGTCTATTGAATTCTAAATATGTCTTATACTTGGATATATACTTGGATACCTGTATCTTTTACTCAATTTGGGGGTTTTCCTGCTGTAATTTCATTGAATAGGTTTCTGTCTTTTTTCTATATCTTAGCTCCTTCTAACCCAGGCATATTATCCATGGATTCTTAGGATTGGATTCTTGGTCATGTTCCCGAGTTACTGAAAATTGTGGTATGGTCTGTCATCTTGTCTTCTTGTTTGTTTTTTTCCCTTCAATGATGTGTGAATATAGTATTTCCTTGGCCCCATTCCCATCCCTGATCTTCTTTCTTCTGCTTAATCTAGTCTGTTAGTGATAATTTCTATTGTTTTTTGGTTGATCGTGGTTTTCATTTCTAAAGTTTCTGGTTTTGTTTTTGTGTTTTCTGTTTCCTTTACTGAATTCCTCATCCACATTGATGACTTTCTGTCCTTTTAGAGGTCATCAGTCATTTTTGGAACTAGAATTTCTTAACTTTTATACAGTATTGTCCATTTCAGAGTCTTTGAATTTGTTTACTTTGGAGATATGATCTCTTAGAGGAATAATGTTGCCTTGCTTTTTCATGTTTCTTGTGTTTCTGAACTGTGATTGACACATCTGTTGAGATGAATATCTTTTACTTAGAACTGAGCAGCCTTCTCTTGGAGGGCTCAGTCTGCAGCACTACTCCAAGAAGAGAAGACAGACCGCCATAACAGCATCAGCAAACAAACCACATATAGAAATGCAGCAAAATCAATGAAAGGCAACTGCTGTTTCACTAATAATCAATAGAAAATAAAATGGCATGGGTCAATAAGATGGCCCTGCAGGGAAAGGCTGTTGAATAATGCTGCCAAGCCCAGACCAGTTTGATCCTGGGCGTTCACATGGTGGAAGGAGAGAATGGAATCTTGCATATTGTCCTCTGAGCTAAACATATGTGCACTGTGGTAAACACACACACACACACACACACACACACACACACACAGAGTAATTAAAAAAATAATTAAATGGCAGAAAGTGTTGAGTAAGCCATGAGGTTAGAAATTAAAGTCAGTTAATATAAGTGAAATAAGCAGGGCAAGTAAAGGGGGAAATGAAAAAAGAATTAAGATTAAATAAAAGGGAAAAGTGATGAAAGAATGAAGAAAAAGAAAAGAGAAACAAAAAGGAAAAATAATGAAAATACAGTCAAAAAGAAAGTATTTTTTAAACGATGACTGTAGAGGCTTCTTCCTGGTTCTCTAATATTGGTGTGGCCAGTGGCTGGTTTGAACCTGGAGCCTCGTCTCTGCCATACTGTTCTGTCACAGCCAGTTGTTTCTCGGTGCTTCATATTCTTTGGAAGCTTCCTTTCTTTGTGTACTAAGAGCCACTGGTGACCACACTTAGTTTTGTGTACTGTGAGCTAGGCAGGTTCTTACTTGCTCCAGAGCCCACCATCTTGTACATCCTCGGTTGGCCAGCATCCAAGTTGAGAAATTTCTCCTGAGGGCATCAAAGAGTGTGGGAAGCAATCAGACTCTGCTGTGCACCAAAGAACTGGAGAACTAAGTGGTTTCAGATCCCACCCAGCAGTGCACTATCCTGGGGAAAGTTGGGGGAGGGTGCCCAAATTTCTCAGTCTTTGGCAGCAGGCCTCACATGGCATCTCTAGAGTCGGCACAATCACCCCCCACTGCCCCGCCCCCAGTCACAATCCATTGCTATCAGGCTCCACAAGTGTATATCAGGCTCTCCACTGACCTTCAACCCTTTGTCACATAAGCCCCCTGCTGTCTAAACTCTCAGTTTGTCCACCTCCCACTTTCTTCTCTGTGATAGTGTCTCCAGGTTCCCTGACTTGTGATTGTTCCTTTTTAGGTCCCTGGAGTAGCTCAGGCCCAAACAATAGATCCTCTCCCAAAATGGTGTCTGGTAGTATTGGGATGAAATATGGAGTGGCAAAATGGATTTCTTCTCCAGTGCTGGTTGGTCACATAGGAAGAGTCAATCATACTGAATCCCCTACTGGATTTACGACTGTGGGTTTATCCTGTGACTGAAACCTCCAGTCCATCCTCAGCAAGACTGCCTGGCTTACTTTTGGTGTAGCTTTAGCTTCCATCCCTAGAGGGAGGGGCTGGAGCTGGGGTCTCGCTCTGTTTACTGCTCTTTCTTATTGTGGCCCTTCTGTGACTCCAGCAGTATGGTTGTGACTCCTGCAGTATGGTTGTCCATCTTTCTTGATTTCTAATGCTTTTCCTCACTTTCTCCCTTTAGAATAAAATTGTTACCCTGACTCCTCATTTATGTAGTCACATATCAGTCACTTCTAAGAATGCTGCTCTTTTTACCTCAGAAATTCTGTATTTTAAATAGATCTTCTATCTATGCATAAGCCCTGTACTATTGATTTAAAAGTACTTGGTTCACTGAGTTAGATAGGTCTACTGAATGTTGACATGCTCCATTGTATAATATCAAGCAATCATAGTTACTAATACTATCATTACCCTCATCAGTGGTACATATGAGTTTTCCCAAATAAATTTTTCCTGTCATCAGTAAGTGTTATGAATTGTTTTCCTTGATATGGAAAGCTCATTTTGCTATTATAAAAATGTCTTCTGAATATCCAAGTCAAAATAGCCATAGTTTGCATTCCTTTAAAACAAAAATGATATTCTGTGGGGAGGAAGTCTATGTTCAGCTCATAACCCAGTCCCAGACCCCAGGGCTTTATACATATGCAGAGAATATTAACAAAGATGGAGACTCAAGGCACTGAGATGTAGCTCAACAGTAGAACACCATCCTACCATGCACATGGCCCTGGGTTCAGTCTTCAGCAATGAAAAAAAAACAAGGGATTTAATAAAATTAGTTTGACTGCTGTGTGCAGTAATGAGACACAAACACAGTGCTAAGGTGCCCGCTGTTTATCCCCCACTGTTTTTGTCTTGTGTTCAGTTGTGACTTAATTCCTAATAAGTGCCTTGGATTCCCCAGGTGTCTGTGAGTCATGCTTTCAGACCCATTGATGGGAATTTTAATGTGAATTTACCTCTTAGATTTGTATGTGTTCAATGTCAACACTATGTTGATACTGTTTAGAGTTGATTGTAGAAAAATCAGGTGCCAATCTTAAGGTTCTTTGAAGATTGCTCCCATAGTCGTTATAGGAAATGTTTCAAAATCCAAATCTATTTTCTCTCAGTTCTGGCTACCATTTGCTGTTTCTAGTGTTCACAAGTCTTGACCGTGTAGTTCAGAGAACTAATTGTTAGCCCCAGTGCTAAGGGAAAGCTAGGTGCCTTTTGTGAGAGTTGAAGGAGCTGCTACATTCCTGGCAGTTCCTATGCTTCAGGTTTTGGCTTTCATATACTTCCTTTAAACACCGTATGTGTTAGTTTCTTTGGCCAAAGTGACTCTCCTTGCACCACTGCCCTGTTGCAGGCTTGTCACTATAGCCTCCACCATACCTCTAAGTCGTTTGCCATTCCTGCAACTGCTAGAACTTTGTTGCGATTTCTTTAGTAATAAGAATGTTTGGCATTTCCTTGGTTTTTCTGAGTGAAGATCTTCTATTTCTTTGCTCTCATTTTAGCAGAGCTTGGGGAGGATGAGGAGACGAATGTGTGTGACTAGTTAAGACATCCATTTCACAGGTTTGAGTCAGTCTGCTACAGGGGTTAAGAACTAGACCTAGATTTCATTCTTGATGACTTGCTGTATTCCCTTGGATTCTGTTTAATCCAATTATTTCTCATTTGTAAAAATGTCACTTGTAACATCTAATATGTGAGACTATGGATGTTAAGTTCTTAACACATACTTAGCACATCATGTGGGCTTCGTAACTGGTGGTTGTTATATAATGTTAGTTGCTTCCTGTATCCTGAAGTTTTATGTATTCTTTCTTTTGATATTTGAAATAAGAAGATATATTTTTCAGTTTACCTTCTGTTACATATTCTTGACATTATAGAAGAATTATAATTCTTAAATATGAAACCAAAGCTTCAAAAGTATTTTTTCTAAGTGTCTGCACTTTATATAAAATACTGAACAAATCACCTTGTTACTCAGGTTCAGATTTCAGCTAGTTTCCTATCCAAGTAATCATAGTTCACATGTGAAAAAATATTAAGGAAATAGTTCTTCATATAATTGGATAACTGCTTCTTTTTTATTATTATTTTTATTTTCTGTGTGTGAGTGTATTGCCTGCATGTATGGAAGTGCACCCATGTCAGTGCCCGAGGAGGTCAGAAGAGGGCATCAGATCTCCTGGAACTGGAGTTACAGAGAGTTGTTAGCTACGGTGGGGGTGCTGGAAATCAAACCCCAGTCCTCTGCAAGAGCAGCCAGTGCTCTTAACCTCTGAGCTTAACCTCAACAGCCCCGATAACTGCTTCTTGACCTTGACTCAGAACCTTTCGGTACACTGAAATTGTTAAGGATTTGAAAAAAAATTAGTCCTGTTTATTATAAGAATTGTTCTAATGCACACTTAAGATTGGAAAGTTCATTATCTATTTCTTTAGTGTATTAGAATGTGCACTTAAGTTTCTTCTATCCAGAACATTTAGTGCACTACTACTACTACTACTTTGTTTAGCCTTAAATGTAAAAAAGTTTTATTGTTTCAGGGAAATGCAAGACATAAAACAGCTGAAGGAGAAACAGGAGCATCAGATGCTAAAAGGTAAATGTAAAGGAAAAATTAATCTCTTTGTTAAATAAAAAGAAATAAAATAGCACTTGGTTTGATTATACTTTATTGTTAACTGGCAAAGAGTTATTTGAATTTTTTACATGGTATTTTTAGTTGGAATTTCAAACTTTTAACAAGATTCAATAGGTTTTGAAATCTTAAGCATGTCCATTACATTATAAATTTATAAAGTATAAAAAGTTAATAAATTATAAAAATTTAGTCTTTATTATAAATGTTAACATTTAAAAAAGCTTTATTAATGGAAACAATGACAAGATGCTACAAATTATAAGACAGTTAAATTATATAATTTTCCCATTTCTATCTTTATGCTATATATTTTATAATAGGTTACTCATTAATCTGATAAGAATAAACTCTCATCTCCCAAAAGTAAAATATTGAATAAGGACTTATCAAGGTGCTTCTTAGACTAAACTGGTAAAATTGTCTAACCCTCTCTAGCAGTTTTCTAAGAGTTCTGAGCAAGGAAATTCAACTAATTTTAAGCAGTTAGGAAAAGTATACACGTCATTTGTGTACTTAAAATCTTCTGTAAATTATAGTTAATCTATATGACCTTGATAAACAAATCAATTTTACAAATTTGAAATGAGGAAAATAATATGTGTTTCAGCTATAATATAATTGATCAGTGAAACCCAAGAAAATTATCTGAGTAATTATAATTAATGAGTTTTAATTAAGATAGTTTGATGCCCAAAGCAAAATCTTTCTCTCTTTTTTTGGTAAATTTTTAATTGAATTTTTGTGTATTTCATGTAGTACATCTTAATCATCTTTATACCCTCTTCCCATTGGCAAACTCCCATAGTCCTCCCCACCCCATCACTGGAATTCATGCATTCTGTCATTTGTGTTAAGACCTATCATGTCAAAGTTAGTGTCCCTGGACGTCCCTCAGTACAAGTTCATCCACTGAGGTCTAGTCAGCCTATCTAGACTTACTTCCTTTAAGATCAGTGTTTCCTCACCCGGCAGTAATCAGCTGCCAATAATTCTGAGTAAGATTAGGCCTGATGCCCATTTCCATAGTCCTGTACTGGGGTTTTATCTGCTTGAGATTACATGGTTCTTGTGCATGCTGACACCATTGCTGTAGGTTCATACAAGCAAGGTCCCAGGTCCCTCTATTTCCATATGGTTGTGTACCTCCTCCCTGGTTCTTAACAGTCTTTCCACCCCATCTTCTGCAATGGTCCCTGAGTCCTGGGTGGGTGAAGTTAATATAGGAGACCTGTCCAAGGACCCACACTCTGCAGACTCTTATTCTCTATGCTTTGACCGTTTGTGGCCTTTTGTGTTTCTAGGGAGCTTCATTGGTGAGAACTGAAAGATACATTAGTGTTTTCTTTACCCCTTATTCTGTGTTGTTAGGTGTAGAGGTTGCATCATGGATGTGCCACTTAGGCTTGGGCAGTTCACAGACAATCTCTGTGTGTGACCAGTTGTGAAACTCTAATTATGTCCATCTGTTGCAAAAGTAGCTTCTTTTAATGAGTGGTGACTGGGATATTTTTCTGTAAATATAAGAATCCATATTTTGCACACAGTAAGAAATTTCATTTATGTAGAGATGTGACAGCCTTGAGGTGTTCTCTGAGATCTGTGACCTCTCCAGCCGTGTGTATTTCGCTAGGTTTACAGTACCACACATGACTTTCCTCCCATTGTGTGGGCCTTTCATCAGATTAGGTAGCTGTTGATTAACCCCAAAATCAGTGTCACTACTGTACCAACGTCCTTTGCTGTGCCCGTCATTGATGTGGTTATTAGTCCTTAAAGCTGGGATTGGACCACCAATTGATGTTCTCCCTTACCAACTTCTGTCATGCTCTCCAAAGCTATGAGAGCTAGCCTTCAGGGGAGGTGGCTTCCGGGTCAGTTCCAACTCCACTGCTTCAAATCCTGTATCCAAAGTATGTCCTGTCTTCAGCAATGGGGTCTTACATTCAAGGTCTGGGAGGCAGTCAAGGGCTGTGGCAGTAGCCTGTGTAATTTGGGGAGTCTCTTGAACTACCCTGGCCAACAACTCAAAGGAAGATTTCTCCTTTCTGGCACTGTTTCTTGTTATATTGCCTTCAGCTATACACAGGGACTGATGAAAAGATTTTGTATGTGTAATTTTTCAGTAGGTTTTTTAACTAAAACAATTCCCTCTTTTTTAATTTTTTTTAATGTATATGTGTGTATTGCCAGCATGTATGTAAGTGCACCTGTGTCATGCAATGCCCACAGAAGACAGAAGAGACCATTGGATCCCCTGGAACTGGAGTTATGGATGGTTGTTAGCTGCCACGTGGGTGCTGGGATTCAAACCCGGGTCTTCTCTAAGAACAGCCAGTGTTCTTAAACACTGACCCATCTCTCCAGCCCCTTGTGGGGTTTTTTTTGGTTTGTTTATTTTTTGTTTTTTCATACTAGCTAGGCAGTATTTATCTCTCCTCTCTCTGTGTCCCTGTCGACCCTCCCTCCACGCCCCACTCCATTGAAAGTATCCCCTTTTTCCCCATTTCTCTCTTGATAATACCTATTTCTTATGGTCCCATCTCTCTTAAGCTCCTTCTTCCCTTTTATCCCACAGTTGCTTGTATAACCCTCCCTTTCCCTCTCCTACTTAAATACCCCAATTTTACCGATTTCTCCCTCAGTAACACCTGTCCTCTACTGTTCTTCTCTCTCAGGTGCCTTTTTTTCCCTTGGTTCCTTTCCATTCTCTAGGTTCCTGCAGTTACATCAGGATGTGCACTCACATAAAATTTGGTGCTAGGATCCACAAATAAGGGAGAACATACATACGCCCTTTGTTTTTCAGAGTCTGTGTTACTTCACTTAGTATAACAGTTTCTAGTTCTTCCATTTACCTGCAAATTTCATGATTTCATCTTTCTTTACTGCTGAGTAGAACTCCATTGTGTAAATATGACACATTTTCATTATCCACTTGTCGGTTGAGGGACACTTAGGTTGCCTCCATCTCTTAGCACCACACAGAGACCACATTTAGGCTCTCACGCATTCTGCAGAGGTCCCGGCCCCTACTAAAGGGCAGAGAAGCTTAGCCCTGGAGCTGTGGGAGGGACTGCAGGGGTCCCTGCAGAGGATGGGAACAGTGCAATTTGCAACATGTAGTTGCATGTTATGGGCAAAACTTTGCTTTACAATACTAACGGGAATGAGACACATGCATGAAGATAAGGAAAAGTTTACTAAGGTAGCTTTCATAATAGACCATTTTCCAAATTAATTTTTGGATTTAATCAACATTTAATTGAAAATCTCAGAATTTTTATGGTTTTCATACAAATAGTTTGATGGTATTTAAACCCTCTCCTCTATCTGCAGCTCCCTCCACTGTCCCTGGCCAATTTAATGTATGCTCTTATATATATAATTTGGCCTATAGAATCTGACTTTTGTCCCCAAATGTGACTTGTGACTATCACTATATTAAATCTTTTCCTAAAAAACTTTTTTTGGAACTCACCATACAAACAAGACTGATCTCCAACTCACAGCGACCTATCTGCCTCCATCTTCTGAGTGTTGGTATTAAAGATGTATGCCACTGCACCCAGTGAAAATTTTTCAGTTTTTAATCTGTAAGTGGAGGAGTAGAAAATAAGCACATTGTTAACCTATTGTTAATACTGTTGTGTTGACCCAAGAACAGTTGAGGTAGATCTAGCTAAGTGGCTAGAAACCTCAGAAAATTATATGTACCATTTTATGATTAGTTCATTGATTACAGTTTACACACGAGGCAGGGAACACAGGAACCTAAGTATGCATGTAGATAAATATACATACATATACATCTGTGTGTATGTTCTGTATTTGCATGTTTTCAGGTATATGTTTGTTTTTAAATGAGGTTATTAAATAGTAGGGAAATGTTTGTGAATGTTGATTTGATTTTTGCATAAAAAAGACATTTAAGCATAAGAGTATTTAAAACATAAAAGAAAACAAACTTGATCTTAGGCATTTACACAAACTAATAAGGACACAAATTTGAACTGAAAATAGGGAGAGGTTCAAACAGATAAAAGTAGTCACAGCTTTTATCAGGAATAGTCAGTTAATAGACACTTAGGTCCTTTTAATATATGCTCCAGGGGGCTGGAGAGATGGCTCAGCGGTTAAGAGCACTGACTGCCCTTGCAGAGGACCCGGGTTCAATGCCCAGCACCCACATGGTGGCTACGAACTGTCCTTGACTCCAGTTCCAGGGGAATCCAAAGCACTCTTGTGACCTCCGCAGCATTGCACACCACGGGTGCACTCACATACATGCAGCCAACCAATACACTCATACCCATGAAATGAAAATAAAATATTTTAAATACACACAAACACACACACACACACACACACACACACACACACACACACTTCAGAGCATCTTACACTTTGTTGAGAACTGTAGCAGAACAGTCACACTAGGAAACTTGCATCTTTTGGGGTAAGAAAATATGCCTTATTTCTGTTACTTCTTATAGTGTGACTGTATTGTGCTAGTCTTGAATTACATTGTTTTATGAATCAATAATAAATGGCTTTATTTTTTCAGTAAGCAAGATAAAGCTCCTTCATCAGAAGAAAAAAATGGGTGTGGTACAAGTTTTTGTGAAGCTTCATCCTCAACAAGAAGTCAAGAAAACCTAAAGGTTTCAGATGAAGAGGATGAAACTAGCCCAAAGAAAGTCTTCAGTCATGATTCAAACGTCGGACCAGATGAAATGGAAAAAGAACAGCGAATGCAGCACACCTGTCAGGAAATGGAACTGAAGATGGGCCAAGGTTCAGAAAGCACAGTTTTGTGTGAGCAGAGTAAAGAGTGTAATGCCAGTGAAGCTAGGTTTTCTTCAAAGGATACTAAAGATGTGCCACTAACATCAGGTGATGTTAGCATTGATCAGTTTTTGAGGAAAAGAGATGAACCTGAATATCTTAATTCTGATGCTAGTGAGCAAGGCAGTGTTCATTTGGAACCTTTGACACCATCAGAATTACTTGAGATTGAAGCCACAGAAATTCTTCATAAAGATAGTAGTGATCTTCCAGCCAAGACTGATGAGATGGTTTCTGATCTAACAGATGACGTTCCTGGAGAAAATGGTTCTAGAGTGACAGAGACAGCAGTAGACATGTCAGATAAAAAGGAAAGGAGCTGAAATGATTTAGTCATTCTAAGGTTCAGTCACCAACAGAAAGCATTCAGAGCAGTGCTCTGCGGTGAGCTCAGTAGTGCCATGGTAGAGTTCAGAAATGCAAAATCTGAGGGAGGTCATTCATACACTTTACCTATACGTTCAATTTTTATTAAATCAACTTACCAATAATAGCATGATTAGTATGAACTTCCAAGTTTTTAAAAACATGAATAAAACTTTAGTGACAGCTAAGTTTGCCACCAAAGGTCTCTTAGCACTTTTTGAAGAACTAGGTCTTGTTCACCAATAGGAAATGATTATGTTAGTTATATTAATAAAACTTTTGAAACTTTCGTTAGTCCTAAACTTAAAATCCTTATTACCTGTATATTCCTTTTAGCAAATTTAAGGGAAGAGATTTGAAACCATGTACCTTTTGAGAATAATTTTAAAATATCAATTGATTGTTGCTATTAATGAAGGCTTTATTTGAATACAATGCTGGTAAATGCAGCATGCTTAGAGTACTAAGTTGACCTGTTGAGGATTTCGATGAATAAAAACTTAAATTTGGGTTTAATAAAACATTCCAGTCTGTCAGAAGCATGCAAATGCAATATTAGAATCTGTGCACCTCCAAGTGTTAGCCTGCCAGGCTGTCAGCTTACCTTGAATTAAACTTTCAGTGAAAGTGAAATTATGAAAATATAAGTTTATATTTGTGCTTTTAGTCAATGTATAAGCTTTGCAGAAATCCCTTAACTAGTTGTATAAAGTAGAAATCCATTATTGAAACTCTTGTAAATAACTACGCTTTTAATATTGTTTCAATGATCTTTAGCAATAGACCCATAAACATGGTCTGAAAGCCAAACCAAAGTATTGTAGGATGTAGGTATAAAACAGTAAACCGGAAACATGTCCTGGCATCTATTCAGCCATGTTTAAGTAACTTTTCTTTAACTGTAAAGTACAAGCTTCAAATGGGACCCTAAAACAGGATGTAACAACTTGGTTGTGGAAATTAGTCTAATTTATAAGTTGGCTGCTAGATTGAGTTCTCAGATACAGAAATGAATGTAACAAACTACTTTGCTTTGCAGTACTAATTTTATTTTACTAAATTTTACTTTAAATGCTACATTTGTACTTCAAAAAATGTGCTTCAAATTCTTAAACTGTTTTACTGAATGTTAAATGTTTTAAATGCCTATCAAAATTCTGCTGTATATAGTAGTTTTGAGTATATTTGCAATAAAAACCTGTCTTTGAGTTAAAAAAATTTAAAACCTTGTATTAAGGGGAAACAACAGGACTTCTTATAGTAGTTTTGAGTATATTTGCAATAAAAACCTGTCTTTGAATAATTTTATACTTAGATCCCTGTTTGATTCAGTCTGCCTTTAGTGCTGTTAGAGTTACGCACTTAGAGTCATTTCTTAGTACAGTAAGATTTCATTCCATGTGCCTTGCTGAAATATGATTTAAATTAGCACTTAAAGTATAAGGAATAGAAATGCTAATATTTGCAGAGAGTGGTTGCTTTATTTTTCAGTTTAAGAAGAGTCATCTACTATCACTCCCCTTTTATCTCATCGACTTAAAGGGGTTAAAGAGGCAGAATATGTGATAGAACCGTGTTCTTGAATATTTAAGGAGAGCTGATATTTACTTCTTTCCTTCCTCCTAAGCTGTTACCTTTCACCTTGTTGTAACATAAATCTATAACAGGGACATTATTTGAGGTGTTATAAACCTTTAAAGAGCAAAGGAGTATAAAAAAGTTTGAGGTCCCATATGAGGACCACTTTCTTTATATTATTCAATTTCTTGCCAAGCCTGTAACCTTATGCTACAAAACTTTCAGAGCCCAAGTAAGTCAGAGTGACACCAAAATCCCCTTTGAGATTTGTATAATTTCTGCCTTCTGCATCGTACTTTAAAGTGGTATTCAAAATAACTGATGAGTGAAGTGTTTGTACCTGTCCAATATGAGTAAAGAAACTGGAGCTGGACTCAGGTTCTTCACTGAGAAATAAGGCAGTGGGGGAAACAACGAAATAGGCCTTGTACTTGGTAACACAAGTGGCTTACATTCCTAAGCATCCTCTTTATCATCTAAATAGGAGCTAACAATTCAGATATGCAAAACTAGTCTTAGAGGAGCAGTGAGCAGTCAGCAGCAGAGTGTTCATGGTAAATAAATGTGGGCCTTGTGGTTGCAATGACTGAATTCTGATTTGTAGCATGAAAACAGCAGCAGATGATATGTAAATAAATACTGGGCCTATTTGTGCTCCTATTTGCAGGGCTGGAGATAGGGCTCAGCAGTTAAGAGCTCTGACTGCTCTTGCAGAGGATCCAGGTTCACTCCCAGCACCCACATGGTGGCTAATAACTTTCCTTAACTCCAGTTCCAGAGGATCCAAAGCCCTTTTCTGACCTCGGACATTGCACAACACAGTGTACTTACATACGTGAAGGCAATACACTCATACACATAAAATAATAGAGAAAGTTTGTTTAAAAAACAAAACTTCATTTGCAAAGCAAGATGTTGAGTGAACATGGGTCATGGGCTGTAGTTTACTTGTACTTATTATAAGTATAGGTAAAGGCTACTTTGTGATTATTCAAGTGACTATTTACCCAAGAAGATCCAGACTGCCTTATAAGTGCCGTTCAGTGACATTAAGAAGCATTATATTGTTTTGACTGTTTTTTCTTTTAATTAATATTGAAAATAAGAGTACTCTTTCTGGGGGCTGGAGAGATAGCTCAGTGGTTAAGAACATTGTTCTTGCAGAAGACCCAGGTTCAAATCCCAGCACCCACATAACAGCTAACAACTGTCCTTAACTCCAGTTCCAGGGGATCCGACAGTCTCTTCTGTCCTCTATGGGCATTGCACATCACAGGTGCACTTACCTACATGCAGGCAATACACGCATGCATAAAATAAAAATAAAAGAATACTCTTTCTACTTGGGTTATTTGCATCTTTTCAGTATTTTAAGGAAGAAGTTGAATTTTAAAAACTATTGTGTGTGCACTGTGAATGCTATCGAACACGTTTAGGGGTCAGAGGACAAGTTTGTGGAGTCAGTTCTCTCCTACCTTTATGTGGGTTCTGGGGATCAAACTCAGGTCACCATGCTTGTGTGGCAAAGCCCTTCTACCTGCTGAACTCTCTCTGAACCTCACCCCATGAAAAGTATTCTAAACACTTATGAAAAGGGAGTGAGGATAGTGTAAGTCACTTGGTTTTGGCTATATGCAAAAAGATGAAGAAACCAAATATCCCAGGCAATTATTTTCCCATAATACCTACAATTCCTAGCACTTATATTAAATATTCTCTCAAAAAATTTTATTTTGGGGGCCAGAGAGATGTCTGGATGGTTAAGAGCACTGGCTGTTCTTGCAGAGGACTCTGGTTCCATTTCCAGCAACCTCATGGTGGCTAACTGTCCATAGCTAGAGTTCCAGGGGATCTGATGCCCTCTACTGACCTCCACAGGCATTGCACAACACAGGTGCACTTACATACATACAGGCATACTCATACACATAAAATTTTTAAATCTTCAAAATTTTTTATTTTTGCAAATAACACTGGTGACAGGTTTTGTTTATTTTTCTATGACTGTGTGCATATGGAATCAAAGGTTCCTTAGCTAGCCATGCATGCCTTATAATCCCAGCACAAGGATGATGAGGCAGGGAAATCAACCAGGCCAATGTGGCTACACAAGACTCTGTCTCACAAAACAACAACAGTCTTCTTTACCCAAAGAAAGAGAGACTAGTGATCACTTCCATTAATAGCAATTGAGGACTTTACTTCAAGTGGAGGGGTTACCATATCATTTTATATTATTCATTTTTTTTTGAATTTTTGTGTATTTTATACAGAATATCTCAAACCATCTTAATCATCTTTATTGCCCCCATCCCCACCAGTACCCTCCTATAGCCCCCTCACTAGAATCCATATACTCTGTCATCCGTGTTAAGGCCCAGTGTTCAAGTTAGTGACCCTAGACGTTACCCAGTGCAAGTCCATCCACTAAGGTCTAGTCAGCCTATCTGGAGTCTTTTTGTTTTAGGAAGATCAGCTCTTCATCACCTAGCAGTAATGAATTGCCAATGTTTCTTCAGCTAAATCATTTTATATTTAGAAAAGCATGTAATTTAAAGATTATATATATATATATATATATAATAACTATTACTGAAATCTTAAAATCTTTCCATTTTTCACTCCAGAGCTGGGGAGATGGCTAGTGGGTGAAGCATTTTCTGTGCAATCATGAGGACCAGAGTTAAGTAAGATCCAGGGCACCCACATAAATACTGGGTCAGCTGTAGTGGCCTACCTGTAATCCAAGTGCTTGAGAGGCAGAGGCAGAGATGGGATCATCAGAGCAAGCTGGCTTGCTTGGGTACCTGGACAAGCCAAAACAGCAAGCTCTGGGTTCAAGTGAGAAATGCTGCTTCAATGAGGTGGAGAGCGATGGAGAAAGACACCTGAAACTGACACCACCCTCTGGCCTCCACACAAGCACACATGCACACACCCACCTATAGATGTGCACCACATACACACCTGTTACTTCAAGACCACTTTTATTTAATAGATTTTTGTGTGTTATGGGCTCTGGAGAAGGATTACAAATGTTTGACTTTTACTAGATTATTACAATACTGCATTTTTTTTTTCAGCTAAGAAATGAAAATTTGCAAGCAGAGCTCGCTGGCTCTGTGTGTGTGAGTGTGTGTGTGTGTGTGTGTGTGTGTGTGTGTGTGTGTGTGTATTTGTGCATGTGCTGCCGCCAAAGCCACACTTGTGGTTACCGCTGCTGGCCAAGACTCATGCCGCCGCCCCGCTACCTTGTCCGGCTACCTGCACCCTGCCAATAAGTCTCTGTTCAATCAAGAACATGGCAGACGGCACCAAGTCTAAAGATTCACAGCAAGAATTTGGTCGTTATGGTCCTGTAGTTGATGTATATGTTCCACTTGATTTCTACACTCGACGTCTGAGAGGATTTACTTATGTTCAATTTGAGGATGTTCATGATGCTGAAGATGCTTTACATAATTTGGACAGAAAATAGATTTGTAGGTGACAAATTGAAATACAATTTGCACAGGGGAACTGGAAGACACCAAATCAAATGAAAGCCAAGGAAGGGAGGAATGTGTACAGCTCTTCACGCTATGATGATTATGACAGATACAGATGTTCTAGAAGCCGGACTTATAAAAGGAGAAGATCAAGGAGCTGGTCTTTTGATTACAACTATAGGAGATCTTATAGTCCTAGAAACAGTAGACCAATTGGAAGACCATGGCATAGCAGAAGGAATTCTGACAATGTGATTCAATGATAGATTCTTTTTCAAGACCTAAGTCCAATTCAAGATCAGGTCCAAGCCCCAACCCAAGAAAGAAATGAAGGCTAAATCACGTTCTAGGTCTGCAGCTCACATCAAAACTAGAGGCACATCTAAAACA